AGGGGGCGACGTCACGTGATGAGGGTGACGTCACGTGACGAGGGGGTGACGTCACGTGACGAGGGGGGGCGACGTCACGTGATGAGGGGGTGACGTCACGTGACGAGGGGGGTGACGTCACCTCCGCATCAGCAATGGTTGGCTACCTACGGCGCGACAGAAGTTCTACATACACTAAACACAACATTACATACTGCGCTATAAACTATACACTAAATACTACACTACACACTACATCGTATGCCAAGACTGAAAACTCCTTCATTTGAACTGCTTTTGTTGTGTTTAGTTTGGCCACGCACACAGCGAAGAAGTTCAACATACGTACATACCTCATACACTACACTACACTACACTACACACTACATTACAAACTACACGACACTACCACTACACTACACACTACACTACATACTACACACATACTACACTACACACTACACTACCTACTACATACACGAAACTACACACTACACTCACACTACACTACCACTACACATACACTACACACACTACACACTACACACTACACACTACACTACACTACACACTAAACTACCAACTACACTACCTACACCTACACTACACACTACACTACACACTACACTACACACTACACTACACACTACACTACACAATACACCACTATACTAAATGGAAAAATTAATTTCATTACAACTCGTTGTTGTTGTGTGTTAGTTTGTTTGTCTTTCCCACCCCGCTCCTCCGGTTAGCCGCGGTCGGCTAACGTGCGCTGCCCAAGGAGTTCAACATGAAGACACTCTGCATTCCGATGGTGCACATCGCGCCGCCTACATCCTGAAGACCGATTGCGAAAGCCGACAGCTGTACACGTGTAAAGTTGCGTACGTACGTGTGTGTGTGTGCGTGTGTGTGCATCTCGGTCATCTCGGTCAGTCGACCCGTGGCACCTGCTGGGTCTGCCCCGTGACCTCCTCCTGCCAGCGGGCGTTCGACACTTCACGTGGTAGCCTCAAGGCGCACATGGCCTGGCACAAGCGTCGTGGTGACGTAACCGCCACTTAGTGGCGAATGGCGGTTGTTGTTGTTGTTGCATGCGACACGGGTTCAATTCCCGCTCACGGCCAACACCGCCAGTGACGATTATCTGAACCGGTCCCGGGCCTCCCCTAGGTCGACTCAGCCTCAAATGAGTACCTGGTGCAGTGTGTAAACATTGCCACTAGGGAGACAAAGGCGGTCGGGCGTGGTGCTGGCCACCCACCCCCTCGTGTACCGTTCTGGCCTTCACAGCACTTGCCCCTACAGTCCATTAAGGCTAAACGGGGGATCTTTATCTTTGTGCATGCCGTATAGCTGTGCCTGCATTTTTTTTGTACGCTCTAGCGGCCGAAATTCTGGTTTTACAAGTTTAGCCAAAAGGTCACTGGGCCCCCCCCCCATGCAAATCTCGGGCCCATGAAGGCCCGTCAACATCAACTGCGGTGCGTGTGTTGCGTGTTGCAACGCAGTACAAAGTGTAACGTGACGCAAATGCCCCCCACGATCCACAAGAAGGAGACATCACAGCGACGGCGGTGATGAAACACCGCTGCTGCGCTACTGCTCCAGTTACCTTGAGTTGACCACCTGAATGTCACATTGTAGCTGTTTGCTCTGCAACTACGTTAGCCAATCGGAAGAGACAGCCGCCATCACTACCTCTACCCCTATCACTACCCCTAACACTACCCCTACCTATCACTACCCCTATCACTACCCCAACTCCTATCACTGTCCCTATCACTACCCCTATCACTACCCCTATCACTACCAAAACCCCTATCACTACCCCTATCACTACCTCTACCTATCACTACCCCTATAACTACCCCAACTCCTATCACTGTCCCTATCACTACCCCTATCACTACCCCTATCACTACCCCAACTCCTATCACTGTCCCTATCACTACGACCTCTACCCCTATCACTACCCCAACTCCTATGACTGTCCCTATTACTACCCCTATCACTACCCCTATCACTACCACAAACCCCTATCCCTACCTCTACCCCTATCACTACCCCAACTCCTATGACTGTCCCTATCACCACCCCCACAACAGAGTGTCGTACAACGCGTAACGATGCAATGCCCCGATCCACAAATACGAAGAAGGAGACATCACAGCGGCCATGATGATGATGAGACACCGCTACTGCGCTACTGCTCCAGTTACCTTGACTTGACCACCTGAATGTCACATGGTAGCTGTTTGCTCTGCAACTACGTCAGCCAATCGGAAGAGACAACCACTATCACTACCTCTACACCTATCACTACGAACTCTACCCCTATCACTACCCCAACTCCTATCACTGTCCCTATTACTACCCCTATCACTACCCCCTATCACTACCCCTATCACTACCCCCTATCACTACCACTATCACTACCCCAAACTCCTATCCCTACCTCTACCCCTATCACTACCCCTACCTATCACTACCCTTATCACTACCCCAAACCCCTATCCCTACCTCTACCCCTATCACTACCCCAACTCCTATGACTGTCCCTATTACTACCCCTATCACTACCCCCTATCACTACCACTATCACTACCCCAAACCCCTATCCCTACCTCCACCCTTATCACTACCCCCACAACAGAGTGTCGTACAATGCGTAACGACGCAATGCCCCGATCCACAAATACGAAGAAAGAGACATCACAGCGGCGATGATGATGAGACACCGCTACTGCGCTACTGCTCCAGTTACCTTGACTTGACCACCTGAATGTCACATGGTAGCTGTTTGCTCTGCAACTACGTCAGCCAATCGGAAGAGACAACAGCCATCACTACCCCTATCACTACGACCTCTACCCCTATCACTACCCCAACTCCTATCACTGTCCCTATTACTACCACTATCACTACCCCAAACCCCTATCACTACCTCTACCCCTATCACTACGAACTCTAGCCCTATCACTACCCCTATCACTACCCCTACCTATCACTACCCTTATCACTACCACAAACCCCTATCCCTACCTCTACCCCTATCACTACCCAAACTCCTATCACTGTCCCTATCACTACCACTATTACTACTCCTATCACTACCACAAACCCCTATCCCTACCTCTACCCCTATCACTACCCCAACTCCTATCACTGTCCCTATCACTACCCCTACCTATCACTACCCTTATCACTACCACAAACCCCTATCCCTACCTCTACCCCTATCACTACCCCAACTCCTATCACTGTCCCTATCACTACCCCTATCACTACCTCTACCCCAATTCCTATCACTTTCCCTATTACTACCCCTATCACTACCCCAACTCCTATGACTGTCCCTATTACTACCCCCTATCACTACCCCCTATCATTACCCCTATCATTACCCCTATCACTACCCCTATCACTACCCCTATCACTACCCCTATCACTACCTCTACCCCTATCCCTACCTCCACCCTGATCACTACCCCTACAACAGGCTGTCGTATAACGCGTAACGACGCAATGCCCCGATCCACAAATACAAAGGAGGAGACATCACAGCGGCGATGATGATGATGATGATGATAATGAGACACCACTACTCCGCTACTGCTCCTGACACAGGTTACCTGGGCTTTGACCAACTGAATGTGACATTGTAATAATAATAATAGTTAAATGTATAACGCGCGCAAATTTGCGGACGTAATGGCCGCAACTCAGAGGCGCGGAGCCAAGCTCAGAGTCGCTCGAAAGCGCCGTGGTTTGTAGAGGTGAGTTTTTAAGTCTCTCTTGAAGGAGGCGATTGAGGTGATGCTGCGAATATGCAGAGGGATATCGTTCCAGACTGTTGTTACCTTGTTGTTGTTGCTCTGCAGCCACTACATCAGCCTACATGTGAAAGAAGAAGAAGACGACGACGATGACGACGATGGAAGAAAAATATAAGAAAGAAGAGGACGACGATGAAGAAGGGAATGAAGAAGAAGGCGACGATCAAGAAGGTGACGATGAAGAAGGTGACGACGATGAAGAAGGGAATGAAGAAGAAGGCGACGATCAAGAAGGTGACGATGAAGAAGAGGACGACGATGAAGAACCAGCGTCTTTGACCTACGCTGCTCACCTAGGGGTAGAAGGAGTAGTGGCCAGTGTACGAGTTGGAAAGGAAGACGATCGGGACGACGATGATGATGAGGGCGAGGCTCATGATCCCCAGCACCATGCCGGCGATGTTCAGGTTGCGGCACGTGGCGGAGTACTTGGAGGCTCGCTCGAGGTCCCCAGTCGCCAGCGCGTCGCGCACCTGCCAACGGGGGGCACGGGGAGGGGGGGGGGGAAGGAGAAACGTCACTTGCACGGTAGATCTTGTTGTTTTTATATCCTCCTTTTTTTATTTCGAAAAGGTGAGGGCACCCATGGGATAGCTAGGAGATGTTAACTACCTCGCCTGGTATGGAGGAGGTCGTGGGCTTGATACGGACCCTGATGATGGCTGCTGTATATTTGGAGTTTGTGGTGTCTCTCTCTCATCATCATCATCACAGAGGAACTACCTCGCCTGGTATGGAGGAGGTCGTGGCTTCGATCCAGACCCTGACGATGCCTGCTGTATATTTGGAGTCTGCGTGTCTCTCTCTCATCATCATCACGGTGGATAGATGTTAACTACCTCGCCTGGTATGCAGGAGGTCGTGGGTTCGATCCTGACCCTGATGATGGCTGCTGTATATTTGTAGTTTGCGTGTCTCTCTCCCCATGGTCGCGTCGATTTTTCTAGGGGTCCTCCCGTTTTCCCCTCCACTTTTAGAATCAGCGTCACGCGTTTAGAGTATTTGGCTGCTGCAATAAATGTCCACGTGACGATGATGATGATGATGATTAGTCACTTGGTTGAGCCACCATTTGTGAGTTACACAGCAGCTCAGGGGCCGTCCATAAATGACGTCACGCGATTTTGGACGATTTTTTGACCCCCCCCCCTCCTTCGTCACACGGCGTCACAAAAAGTCAGACCCCCCCCCCCCCTCAAATATGCCGTCACAAAGCTCTGCCCCCCCCCCCCCCCAAAAAATATAAACATGCTTCAAATCGCTTTAAACTAATGTCATTGTAGTGCGTATTTAATGTGTCGCTGCACTCTGCTGTTGTAGGAGAAAACATTTATCAAAAAGTATATTTAATTAAGTAGAACGTGTTGTCTACATTCTTAATTTTAGAACTTTCGTGACTGCAGTAAATTATTATTTGGTTCTTTCGGTTAAGTCACATCTAAAGATAAAATAATAAATTAAATTAAATAATAGCATACGACATTTCGATTGCAACACAAGCAATCATCATCAGGTATAATGAAATAGCGACATAAAATCTAACCAGAAAACTATAGACAGACATATTAGCAGACAGATTTATTTAAAGCATTTTGATGTGACGTCACATATCTCAAACCCCCCCCCCCCCTATCGTCACAAATGTCTGACCCCCCTCCCCTCCCCCCCAGGTGCGTGACGTCATTTATGGACGGCCCCTCAGTGGTGGGGGCCTGGTAACAATGAAAAAAATGGTTCAGATAACCGTCACTGGTGTTGGCCGTGAGCGGGAATTGAACTCTGGTCGCCGTGTTCGTAGCGCAGTGCCGCTCTAACCACCGTGCTACCCCCCACCCCCACAAACCTTGGTTTATTATTATTAATATTGGTACATACGGACCGAACCTCTTCGCCATAACAAAAATGTTTATACTTTTAGAGTTAATTTACGTTAACCTTACGAAAGAACAGAGGTCGCGATCGGGTACCCAATACCCGTACCCTACCCGATACCCGGCTACCCGTACCCGGCCGGGTACGGGTAGCCGGGTATCGGGTAGGGTACGGGTATCCGTTTGCGACCCTGGTGCGGCCGGTTACGGGTAGGCCGTGAGTCACTGGTGAGTCACCGTTTGTCACTCATTTCCCAACGTCTTGTCTCTTCTCACAATTCAAGTTCCTAGAATCAACCCACCCGCGCCTGCAACATGGCTTCATCCCAGAGGTCGCAATCGGGTACCCGATACCCGTACCCTACCCGTACCCGGCCGGGTACGGGTAGGGTATGGGTATCGGGTAGGGTATGGGTACAGCCGGGTACGGGTACCCATTTGCGACCCTGGTACGGCCGGGTACGGGTACGGGTAGGCCAAGAGTCACTGGTGAGTAACCGTTTGTCACTCATTTCGGGTAGGGTACGGGTACGGGTAGGGAACGAGTACCCGTACCCGGCCGGGTACGGGTACCCATTTGCGACCCTGGTGCGGCCGGGTACGGGTACGGGTAAGGAATCAAAACCCGTTTGCGACCTCTGCGAAAGAATAAGAAGATGAGGGACGAAGGGAGATCAAGAAAAAGGAGGAGGAGGAGGATAACGAAGTAAGAAGACGGATTAAGAAGAAGATGGAATAAGACGAAGAATAAAAAGTAGTAGAAGAACAAGAAGAAATCCTTCCCTGTCCCACTCACCCTGAAGGAGTAGAACAGCGCCGGGATGCCGAGCGGCCAGAACAGACAGAGGAGTGTGATCAGCGACCAGCTGAGGTAGTCCTGTGGTCCCTGCCGACGCTGCCCAAACCCGGGCCCGTGCTCCAGCACTATCACGTGCTGTGCCCGGTAGGCTTCGCCAGGCCCGATCTCCGTCACGTAGCCCGGAGCGGCGCCGCCGCAGTGCCCGCCCCGTGGGTACGGGTAGCCGAACGGGGGCGGCAGCGGCTGCTGCTGCTGCTGGGTCTGGTACGCGGGCGGCGGCGGCTGGGCCTGGTAGGTTGGTGGAGGTGGCAGTTCCAGTTGGTAGGCAGGCGGTGGCTGAGTTGGGTATTGGGCGTGCCCCGGCTCGTCCGGCACGCTGTAGGGAGGCGGGAAATGTGGGAAGTCTTCCGGCTTGAACTTTCCGTCCATCGCGCAGAGAGGTGGTCCTGGGACAAAATCGGGAGCAGGATCGGAATGTTTATTTCGACTGCAGGAGGAGGAGGAGGGATCCGATGAGATTATGAAGCTTTGTTCCCACAGATGTTCGGTATATAAGGCGGGCCCCGTCAGGGTCGGGTTCGACCCCACGAGCCTCCTGTGTACCAGTGCGATGTAGTTAACATCTCATAGCCACCATGATGATGATGAGAGAGAGAGAGACACGCAAACACCAAATAAACACCAGGCGTCAGGGTCGGGATTGAACCCACGACCCTCCTGTATACCAGGCGAGGTAGTTGGGAGGAAAGGGGGGGAGGGGGGAAGGGAGGGGGGAGGGGGGTAGGGGAGGGGGGAGGGGGTAGGGGAGGGGGGGAGGGGGGTAGGGGAGGGGGGGTAGGGGAGGGGGGTAGGGGAGGGGGGTAGGGGAGGGGGGGTAGGGGAGGGGGGGTAGGGGAGGGGGGGAAGGGGGTAGGGGAGGGGGGGTAGGGGAGGGGGGTAGGGTTAGGGGGGTAGGGGAGGGGGGTAGGGGAGGAGGGGGGTAGGGGAGTGGGGTAGGGGGGGAGGGGGGTAGGGGAGGGGGGTAGGGGGTAGGGGAGGGGGGTAGGGGAGGGGGGTGGAACACCCAGCACGTGCCGTGTCTCGTCCAGGTGACAAACCATGGTCATGCGAACTGCACTTTTACATCATCATCCTCGAGATTGTCAAACGCGTTTACTGTATGTGGGACTGCTCTGTATTCTTGTTTATTATCTCCCCCCACCCCCCCCCCCACATCTGATAAGCACGTTTGGCTACGTATGGTGCGAAATAAGTGAAACACACATACGTACTACGCTTCTTTACACTACACTATACACTACACCACTATACTACATTGAAAACGAATTTCTTTGGACCTGTTTGCTGCGAACAGTGCGAAATAACTTCACATCTTCTTGGTTCTTTCGGTAAAGTCACGTAGAATGGAAATAATAAACAAGTATAACCCGTAAAAACAAAGTTTTTCACTCTAAATCCTTTATATGCGTGGCGGCTAGAGTCCTCTCGTCCTCTGGCTTGAGATGGCTGCCACCTATGGGTCAGATGATTGTCTGCCAGTATTAAGCAATTGGTAATTAAATATTTAATTTGTTTTCCCTAAACAGTGTAAAATTTAGGAAAAAAATTTTCACGAACATTAAGTGTCTCGCACAACGAGTCTGTGTGCAAAATGTCAGCTCGATTGGATCACGGGAAGTGGGTTAAAAAACGACCGAAAGGTTTGCACGGTCGTAAGCAAGCAAGCAAGCGAACTTAATATAAAGGATTTAAAAAAGAAAAATAAAACATAATAGAACAATTCTCACGACGTTTCGGCCACAACGCAAGCAGCCGTCCTCAGGTGGAGAGCAGGTCTGTCGAGTAGACAGAGTCTGAATGACCTGAGGACGGCTGCTTGCGTTGTGGCCGAAACGTCGTGAGAATTATTCTATTACGTTTAATTTTTATTATTTTATTATTTCCATTCTACGTGACTTTACCGAAAGAACCAAGAAGATGAATCCCTGCAGTCACTAAAGCTTTAAATCGAAAAGTTCAACACACATACGCAATACACTTTACACTACCCCACTATACTAAACTGAAAACGAATTTCTTTAGAACCGCTTGCTGTTGTATTTAAGTGTGTTTGTCTTCCCCCACCCATCCCGCATTTCCGATAAGCGCGGTTGGCTATAATCGGTGTGAAACAAGTTTGACACACATACAGGTGCACACACACACACCTACACACACACCTACACACACACAAACATGTACACACAACTATACACACAACAACAACAACCGCCATTCGCCACTAAGTAGCGGTGACGTCACCACGAGGCTTGTGCCAGGCCAACAACCACCTGTACACACTCTCACCTGTACACACGCAACGATACACACACACACCTACACACACCTGTACACACACACACACACACCTACACACACCTGTACACACACACCTACACACACACCTACACATTCCTGTACACACAAACCTACACACACACCTACACACACCTGTACACACCTGTACACACACAAACAAAGATCCCCCGTGTAGCCTCTAACAGACTGTAGGGGCAAGTGAAGTTAGCGAGCGGCACGCACACACATGCACACACACACCTACACACACACCTACACACACACAAACATGTACACACAACTATACACACAACAACATCAACCGCCATTCGCCACTAAGTAGCGGTGACGTCACCACGAGGCTTGTGCCAGGCCAACAACCACCTGTACACACTCTCACCTGTACACACGCAACGATACACACACACACCTACACACACCTGTACACACACACACACACCTACACACACCTGTACACACACACCTACACACACACCTACACATTCCTGTACACACAAACCTACACACACACCTACACACACCTGTACACACCTGTACACACACAAACAAAGATCCCCCGTGTAGCCTTAACAGACTGTAGGGGCAAGTGCTTTTCGCGAGCACCTATGAAGGCTGGAACGGCACACACGAGGGGGTGGGTGGCCAACACCACGCCCGACCGCCTTTGTCTCCCCAGTGGCGATGTTTACTACACACCGCACCAGGTACTCATTTGAGGCTGAGTCGACCTAGGGGAGGCCCAGGACGGGTTCAGACAATCGTCACTGGTGGTGTTGGCCGTGAGCGGGAATCGAACCCGGGTCGCCAGGTTTGTTAGCGCAGTGTAGCGCTAACCGCTGCACCACCACTCCCCACACACCTGTACACACAACTGGACACACACACAACAACAACAACCGCCATTCGCCACTAAGTAGCGGTGACGTCACCACGACGCTTGTGCCAGGCTGTGCACCTTGAGGCCACGTGAAGTGTCGAACGCCCGCTGGTAGGAGGTCACGGGGCAGACCCAGCAGGTACTACGGGTCGACTGACTGAGACGACTGGCTGATGCACAACCCGTGTCCCCTACTGTGCCAACTTGCTGTGCGCTTTAGCCATTCGGCGCTCTGCTCGTTGTTGTGAGCGTTGATCCTCCGCCGAACAAAAGCTATTTAGGCATGCGGTGGCTGGGCATGCGGGCTACATGACCCAGCCAATGCAGCCTTGCCTGCTGGAGGAGCTCACCAATGGGACTTGTCCACATCTTTCAAGGATTTGTGAGCTTCTCACACAATCCAGCCTAGTTAAACCCAGGATGGATCGTAGGCAGGCCAGCCTAAATGTTTCTAACCGGCGAAGATGTGCCATTAAGGGGGTCCACGTTTCGCAAGTGTAGAGAAGGGAGGGAATGACCGTGGCCGAGAAGACCTGAAGCTTCGTGTTGAGCGACAGACCAGGTAGCTTCCACACAGCGTTACGCAACCGATGAAAATATAATGCCGCTCGACTGATTCGGAGTGAGACCTCTGCTGTTCAACCGGAGCCGGTCATGAGCACACCGCCCAGGAATGGGAAACTCGCCACTTTCTCCACAACTGCCCTATCACCAATTGGGAATTGTGGGGGTGGAGTGTCAGATGGTACAAAATACCCAGGCAGGTGCTTAGTTTTGGTCAGCCCCCACCTCTTGGTGGCAAGCTCCAGGTTCAGCAGCAGCGCCTCCAACTCCTCCTCTGAGTGAGCAGCAATCACCAGATCATCGGCATACATCACGTGGTTGAGCAATAGTAAGCCATCTCTTGACCGCACCCGGGCATCGATCAGCCTCCCATTGTATCTGTACCATTTGGTCTGTGGTGCAGTGTTGAGTCTATGGGCAGTGTTGAATCTATGGTGCAGTGTTGAGTCTGTGGTGCAGTGCTGAGTCTATGGACAGTGTTGAGTCTATGGACAGTGTTGAGTCTATGGGCAGTGTTGAGTCTATGGACAGTGCTGAGTCTATGGGCAGTGTTGAATCTATGGTGCAGTGTTGAGTCTATGGGCAGTGTTGAGTCTATGGACAGTGTTGAATCTATGGGCAGTGTTGAGTTTTTCGGGCAGTGTTGAGTCTACGGGCAGTGTTGAGTCTGTGGTGCAGTATTGAGTCTATGGGCAGTGTTGAATCTATGGGCAGTGTTGAGTCTACGGGCAGTGTTGAGTTTTTCGGGCAGTGTTGAGTCTACGGGCAGTGCTGAGTCTACGGGCAGTGTTGAGTCTGTGGTGCAGTGTTGAGTCTATGGGCGGTGTTGAGTCTGTGGGCGGTGTTGAATCTATGGGCAGTGTTGAGTCTACGGTGCACTGTTGAGTCTATGGACAGTGTTGAGTCTATGGGCAGTGTTGAGTCTATGGTGCAGTGTTGAGTCTATGGGCAGTGTTGAGTCTATGGGCAGTGTTGAGTCTATGGACAGTGTTGAGTCTATGGGCAGTGTTGAGTCTGTGGTGCAGTATTGAGTCTATGGACAGTGTTGAGTCTATGGGCAGTGTTGAGTCTATGGTGCAGTGTTGAGTCTGTGGTGCAGTATTGAGTCTATGGGCAGTGTTGAGTCTATGGTGCAGTGTTGAGTCTATGGACAGTGTTGAGTCTATGGGCAGTGTTGAGTCTATGGTGCAGTGTTGAGTCTATGGGCAGTGTTGAGTCTATGGACAGTGTTGAGTCTATGGTGCACTGTTGAGTCTATGGACAGTGTTGAGTCTATGGGCAGTGTTGAGTCTATGGTGCAGTGTTGAGTCTATGGACAGTGTTGAGTCTATGGGCAGTGTTGAGTCTATGGTGCAGTGTTGAGTCTATGGGCAGTGTTGAGTCTATGGGCAGTGTTGAGTCTATGGACAGTGTTGAGTCTATGGGCAGTGTTGAGTCTATGGTGCAGTGTTGAGTCTATGGGCAGTGTTGAGTCTATGGGCAGTGTTGAGTCTATGGTGCAGTGTTGAGTCTATGGGCAGTGTTGAGTCTATGGTGCAGTGTTGAGTCTATGGGCAGTGTTGAGTCTATGGTGCAGTGTTGAGTCTATGGGCAGTGTTGAGTCTATGGGCAGTGTTAAGTCTATGGTGCAGTGTTGAGTCTATGGACAGTGTTGAGTCTATGGGCAGTGTTGAGTCTATGGTGCAGTGTTGAGTCTATGGGCAGTGTTGAGTCTATGGTGCAGTGTTGAGTCTATGGGCAGTGTTGAGTCTATGGTGCAGTGTTGAGTCTATGGGCAGTGTTGAGTCTATGGTGCAGTGTTGAGTCTATGGACAGTGTTGAGTCTATGGGCAGTGTTGAGTCTATGGTGCAGTGTTGAGTCTATGGGCAGTGTTGAATCTATGGGCAGTGTTGAGTCTATGGTGCAGTGTTGAGTCTATGGACAGTGTTGAGTCTATGGGCAGTGTTGAGTCTATGGTGCAGTGTTGAGTCTATGGGCAGTGTTGAGTCTATGGGCAGTGTTGAGTCTATGGTGCAGTGTTGAGTCTATGGGCAGTGTTGAGTCTATGGTGCAGTGTTGAGTCTATGGGCAGTGTTGAGTCTATGGTGCAGTGTTGAGTCTATGGGCAGTGTTGAGTCTATGGACAGTGTTGAGTCTATGGGCAGTGTTGAGTCTATGGTGCAGTGTTGAGTCTATGGGCAGTGTTGAGTCTATGGGCAGTGTTGAGTCTATGGTGCAGTGTTGAGTCTATGGTGCAGTGTTGAGTCTATGGGCAGTGTTGAGTCTATGGTGCAGTGTTGAGTCTATGGGCAGTGTTGAGTCTATGGGCAGTGTTGAGTCTATGGGCAGTAGTTGAGTCTATGGGCAGTGTTGAGTCTATGGGCAGTGTTGAGTCTATGGGCAGTAGTTGAGTCTATGGTGCAATGTTGAGTCTATGGGCAGTGTTGAGTCTATGGTGCAGTGTTGAGTCTATGGGCAGTGTTGAATCTACGGGCAGTGTTGAGTCTATGGTGCAGTGTTGAGTCTATGGACAGTGTTGAGTCTATGGGCAGTGTTGAGTCTATGGTGCAGTGTTGAGTCTATGGGCAGTGTTGAGTCTATGGGCAGTGTTGAGTCTATGGTGCAGTGTTGAGTCTATGGGCAGTGTTGAGTCTATGGTGCAGTGTTGAGTCTATGGGCAGTAGTTGAGTCTATGGTGCAATGTTGAGTCTATGGGCAGTGTTGAGTCTATGGGCAGTGTTGAGTCTATGGGCAGTGTTGAGTCTATGGGCAGTGTTGAGTCTATGGTGCAGTGTTGAGTCTATGGTCAGTAGTTGAGTCTATGGTGCAATGTTGAGTCTATGGGCAGTAGTTGAGTCTATGGGCAGTGTTGAGTCTATGGACAGGGATGTTTCTATTGAACTTCGTTTGCACCGTACGTGGCCAACCGTGCCAAAGCAAACAGAAAAAGCAGTTCTACGGAAATTAGTTTCATCCGTCTGCCAATCCGCTCGTTGCTGTGAGCGTCGCTCCTCCGCCCTCCGCTGTTACTCGAAGCGCGACTGCCTGCAACTGCCCAGTAGCAGCATCAGCAGCGTCCTTCACGAGCTTCCTCCACAGAGGACGATCTCGACACCGCTGGTACCGGGTCACCTTCAGGTCCACTCAGCTCCACATCCTCCTGTACCGCATCTAAGTAACAAATCTCTTCTCAAATCTGTGCCGCGCCCGTTCAGCCCCCACCCCCCCGACCCACCCATCTCTCCGGCCAAACAGAAGCAGCTTTGGCATGCGGTGGCTGGCACATTCGCAAAATCAAGCTCGTATTGACGTGATATTCTAACCGGTTCTGGATTCGAACCGGTTATTGATCCACTGCTAGCGCACTCCCGTTACACAGCCAATATCATAACCCATGGATTAACATTGCCCACAGACTCGCATTACAGTGGCAATCACAGCCCGTAGATTAACATTGGCCATAGACTACACTATACTATGTATTTTATTTAAAAAATAAAATCCGGTAAGACCCTACTGAGTAGCTCTCTTTCAGAAGCGACCTGGGCGATCACAAATGATCGCGGCTCATCACCATCATCATCGCCATCATCATCACCATCATCATCACCATCACCACCATCATCACCATCATCACCATCATCATCACCACCACCATCATCACCACCATCACCACCATCATCATCATCACCACCATCATCACCATCACGACCACCATCACCACCAACATCATCCTCACCACCACCATCACCACCATCACCACCACCACCACCATCATCACGTGGGGATTTACAGCAGAAGCCAAACGCGCTGAACGCGTCGTGGTGATGGTGGTGATGGTGGTGGTGATGGTGGTGGTGGTGATGGTGGTGGTGATGGTGGTGGTGGTGATGGTGGTGGTGGTGATGGTGGTGATGGTGGTGGTGATGATGGTGATGATGGTGATGGTGGTGGTGATAGTGGTGGTGATGGTGGTGGTGGTGGTGATGATGGTGGTGATGGTGGTGATGGTGGTGATGGTGGTGATGTCGATTCTAAACGTGGAGGGGACACGTCGCGGAAGACCCGGAAAAAAATCCACGCGAGCACGAAGAGAGAGACACGCAAACTCCAAATCTACAGCAGCAGCAGCAGCAGGCGTCATGGTCGGGATCGAACCCACGACCTCCTGTACACCAGCGAGGTAGTCAACATATCCTAGCCAAGGTGATGATGATGACAGAGAGATACGCAGACTCCAAATATACAGCAGCAGGCGCCAGGGTCGGGATCGAACCCACGACCTCCTGTACACCAGGCGAGGTAGTTAACATATCCTAGCCACCGTGATGATGATGATAGAGAGACACGCAGACTCCACATATACAGCAGGCGCCAGGGTCGGGTTCGAACCCACGAGCATCCTGCATACCAGGCGTGGAACTTAATATTTGGCCACAGCCTAACATTGCCGGCAGACTTAAGCAAGTGATAGTATCACGAGGAAGAGCTCGGGCTACGCGGCTTGCTCGACCGCTGTGAGACAGGACACGGCACTGACGCGTGGCCAGAGAGACACAGAGACAAATAGAGGCAGAGAGAGACAGAGAGAGAGAGACACATACAGAGAGGCGGAGAGAGAGACACACACAGAGAGACAGAGACGCAGAGCGAGCGAGACAGAGACACAGAGACACAGTGAGACAGAGAGAGAGAGAGACACACACAGAGAGAGAGACACTGAGACAGAGAAAGAGAGACACAGAGAGATACAGACAGAGAAAGAGAGACACAGAGAGACACAGATACAGAAAGAGACGCACAGAGAGAGACACAGAGAGAGAGATACAGACAGAGAAAGAGAGACACAGAGAGAGAGAGATACAGACAGAGAAAGAGAGACAGAGAGACACAGATACATAGAGAGACACACAGGGAAAGAGACACAGAGACAGACACAGAGAAAGAGAGACACAGAGAGAGACACACAGAGACAGAGAAAGAGAGACACAGAGAGACACAGATACAGAGAGAGACGCACAGAGAGAGACACACACAGAGAGAGCGACACTGAGACAGACAAAGATAGACAGAGAGACACAGAGAGAGACACACAGAGACAGACACAGAGAAAGAGAGACACAGAGAGAGATACAGACAGAGAAAGAGAGACAGAGAGACACACACACACAGAGAGACGCACAGAGTGAGACACAGACACAGAGAGAGACACACTGAGACAGAGAAACAGAGACACAGAGACACAGAGAGAGAGACACACAGATACAGACACAGATAAAGAGAGACACAGAGAGAGAGAGATACAGACAGAAAGAGAGACACAGAGAGACACACACAGAGAGACGCACAGAGTGAGACACAGACACAGAGAGAGACACACTGAGACAGACAAAGAGAGACACAGAGAGAAAAGTCCTACAGATCGTGGTCAGTGATAAGAACGTGGGTTAAGACTGACTATCCGCCACCTTTACGAAGCGTAGAAACCAGCCGCAGGAAGTCCTCTGTTTTGGATGGGGCCCTCGCTTCGTCCCGTATATATAGATAGACACACAAACACACACACGTACACTAACACATCTGGAGAACGATACGGGTAGGAATCTCACTGGGTCACATTTATCGCTTGGGGCGGCTTCTGCAAGCGACGCGTCACGTGTGAGAGGTGAGGCACGCAATGAGGCGGGGCTTGTAAGCAGGTGTGACGCGGTGGCCACGTGTTGACGAGGTGGTCACGTGGTGACGACCTCACCTGGTGCGCAGGAGGTCGTGGGTTCGATCCCGACCCTGATGATGGCTGCTGTATATTTGGAGTCTGTGTCTCTCTCTATCTCTCTATCATCATCATCACGGTGACTAGGAGATGTTGACGACCTCGCCTGGTGTACAGGAGGTCGTGGGTTCGATCCTGACCCTGATGATGGCTGCTGTATATTTGGAGTCTGTGTCTCTATCTATCTCTCTATCATCATCATCACGGTGGCTATGAGATGTTGACTACCTCGCCTGATACATGGGAGGGCCGGAGGTGCTAACCCGGCTCTGACGACACCTGCTGAATATTTGGAGGCTGTGCGTCTTTCTCTCTCATCATCATCATGATCACGGTGGCTACGAGATGTTAACTACCTCGCCTGGTACGCAGGAGGTCGTGGGTTCGATCCCGACCCTGACGACGCCTATTTGAAGTTTGCGTGTCTCTCTCATCATCATCACGGTGGCTACGATGTGTTGACTACCTCGCCTGGTACGCAGGAGGTCGTGGGTTCGATCCCGACCCTGATGACGGCTGCTGTATATTTGGAGTCTGTGTCTCTCTCTATCTCTCTATCATCATCATCACGGTGACTAGGAGATGTTGACGACCTCGCCTGGTACGCAGGAGGTCGTGGGTTCGATCCCGACCCTGATGGCGGCTGCTGTATATTTGGAGTCTGTGTCTCTCTCTATCTCTCTATCATCATCATCACGGTGACTAGGAGATGTTGACGACCTCGCCTGGTCTACAGGAGGTCGTGGGTTCGATCCCGGCCCTGATGATGGGTGCTGTATATTTGGAGTCTGTGTCTCTCTCTATCTCTCATCATCATCATCACGGTGACTAGGATATGTTGACGACCTCGCCTGGTCTACAGGAGGTCGTGGGTTCGATCCCGGCCCTGATGATGGCTGTTGTATATTTAGAGTCTGTGTCTCTCTCTATCTCTCTATCATCATCATCACGGTGGCTAGGAGATGTTGACGACCTCGCCTGGTCTACAGGAGGTCGTGGGTTCGATCCCGGCCTTGATGATGGGTGCTGTATATTTGGAGTCTGTGTCTCTCTCTATTTCTCTATCATCATCACGGTGGCTATGAGATGTTGACAACCTCGCCTGGTACATGGGAGGGCCGGAGGTGCTAACCCGGCTCTGATGACACCTGCTGAATATTTGGAGGCTGTGCGTCTCTCTCTCTCATCATCATCATGATCACGGTGGCTACGAGATGTTAACTACCTCGCCTGGTACGCAGGAGGTCGTGGGTTCGATCCTGACCCTGACGAAGCCTGCTGCTGCTGTATATCTGGAGTCTGCGTCTCTCTCTCTATCATCATCACGGTGGCTACGAGATGTTAACTACCTCGCCTGGTACGCAGGAGGTCGTGGGTTCGATCCCGGCCCTGACGACGCCTGCTGTATATTTGGAGTCTGCGTCTCTCTCTCATCATCACGGTGGCTAGGAGATGTTGACTACCTCGCCTGGTACACAGGCGATCGTGGGTTCGATCCCGACCCTGACGACGCCTGCTGTATATTTGGAGTCTGCGTCTATCTTTCATCATCACGGTGGCTAGGAGATGTTGACTACCTCGCCTGGTACACAGGCGATCGTGGGTTCGATCCCGACCCTGACGACGCCTGCTGTATATTTGGAGGCTGCGTCTATCTTTCATCATCACGGTGGCTAGGATATGTTGACTACCTCGCCTGGTACACAGGCGATCGTGGGTTCGATCCCGACCCTGATGACGCCTGCTGTATATTTGGAGTCTGCGTCTCTCTCTCTCTGTGTGGTGTCTCCACCCCCACCCCCTCCACTTTAACATTCAACATCGCCACGACTTTCGAGTATTTGCCTGCGGCTGTGAATTCCCCACGCGAGAATAACGACGATGAGTCACAACTTCGCTGAGCAACCATCATCAGTGACAGCCAGAGATCGCTTCTGACAAAGAGAGAGCGAGCGATTGCTCCAGAGCTACTCAGCGTGGAGTGGGGAGGCCTTAACTTTTTATTGGGTAAAATAAAGAATCTATCTTCTTGGTTCTTTCGGTAAAGTCACGTAGAAGGGAAATAATAAAATAATAGAAATAAAACATATTAGATAATTCTCACGACTCCAAATATACAGCAGGCATCATTAGGGTCGGGATCGAACCCACGACCTCCTGCGTACCAGGCGACGTAGTCAACATCTCCTAGCCATCTTCTTGGTTCTTTCGGTAAAGTCAAGTAGAAGGGAAATAAAAAATAATAAAAATAAAACATAATAAAATACAATTCTCACGACGTTTCGGCCACAACGCAAGCAGCCGTCCTCAGGTGAAGAACAGGTCCTCAGGTGAAGAACAGGTCCTCAGGTGAAGAACAGGTCCTCAGGTGAAGAACAGGTCCTCAGGTGAAGAACAGGTCCTCAGGTGAAGAACAGGTCCTCTGGTGAAGAACAGGTCCTCAGGTGAAGAACAGGTCCTCAGGTGAAGAACAGGTCCTCTGGTGAAGAACAGGTCCTCAGGTGAAGAACAGGTCCTCAGGTGAAGAACAGGTCCTCAGGTGAAGAACAGGTCCTCAGGTGAAGAACAGGTCATCAGGTGAAGAACAGGTCCTCAGGTGAAGAACAGGTCCTCAGGTGAAGAACAGGTCCTCAGGTGAAGAACAGGTCCTCAGGTGAAGAACAGGTCCTCAGGTGAAGAACAGGTCCTCAGGTGAAGAACAGGTCCTCAGGTGAAGAACAGGTCCTCAGGTGAAGAACAGGTCCTCAGGTGAAGAACAGGTCCTCAGGTGAAGAACAGGTCATCAGGTGAAGAACAGGTCCTCAGGTGAAGAACAGGTCCTCAGGTGAAGAACAGGTCCTCAGGTGAAGAACAGGTCCTCAGGTGAAGAACAGGTCCTCAGGTGAAGAACAGGTCCTCAGGTGAAGAACAGGTCCTCAGGTGAAGAACAGGTTCTCAGGTGAAGAACAGGTCCTCAGGTGAAGAACAGGTCCTCAGTTGAAGAACAGGTCCTCAGGTGAAGAACAGGTCCTCAGTTGAAGAACAGGTCCTCAGGTGAAGAACAGGTCCTCAGGTGAAGAACAGGTCCTCTGGTGAAGAACAGGTCCTCAGGTGAAGAACAGGTCATCAGGTGAAGAACAGGTCTGTCGGGGAGACAGCGTCTGCCACCACCAGCTCCTACAGTGACATCACGTCGGCATGTAAATTTGAAATTTGAATTGGCCGCAAGGCTTATTCCAAGTGCGTAAACGTTTTGCCTATTTCGTCATTGCCTTAGCACCCCCTAAACTGCATGGGTGGGGAACCTTTTTTCTGCCAAGGGCTATTTGGATATTTATATAACATCATTTGCGGGCCCATACAAAATTATCAACTTAAAAATTTCCCCGTGAAATTTGGTCAAACGTTTCATTAGCTCGCCCCGAATGCGATGGCTGGAACTGCTTCTCTTTGGCGAGGCGTGCGATGTTAACCGCTGTCGATGATACGTTCCAGATTTGAAGCTTTCGTGACTGCAAGGATTCATTACTCTTAGTTCTTTCGGTAAAGTCACGTCGGTGAAAAATGAGTGGGGGAACCGTGGGGGGTGGGGGGAGGGGGTGGGGGGAGGGGTGGGGGGAGGGTGGGGGGAGGGTGGGGGGGGGGGGTGGGGGAGGGTGGGGGGGGGGTGGGGGGGGGGTGGGGGGTGGGGGAACGTGGGGGGTGGGGGGTGGGGGTGGGGGGGGGGGGGGGGTGGGGGGGGGTGGGGGAACCGTGGGGGGTTGGGGGGAGGGGGGTGGGGGAGGGGTGGGGGAGGGGGGTGGGGGGAGGGGGTGTGGGGGAGGGGTGGGGGGGGGGGGAGGGGTGGGGGGGGGTGGGGGGGGGGTGGGGGAAGGGTGGGGGGAGGGGGTGGGGGAGGGGTGGGGGGAGGGGTGGGGGGTGGGGGAACCGTGGGGGGTGGGGGGGGGGGTGGGGGGGAGGGGTGGGGGGAGGGGTGGGGGGAGGGGGTGGGGGAAGGGGTGGGGGGGGGTGGGGGGGGTGTGGGGGGAGGGGGTGGGGGAAGGGGTGGGGGAGGGGTGGGGGGAGGGGTGGGGGCAGGGGTGGGGGGGGGGGAACCGGTGGGGTGGTGGGGGGGAACAGTGGGGGAGTGGGGGGAGGGGTGGGGGGAGGGGCTGGAGGGAACCGTGGGGGGTGGGGGGAGGGTGGGGGGAGGGGTGGGGGGAGGGGGTGGGGGAAGGGGTGGGGGGAGGGGGGTGGGGGGAGGGGGTGGGGGAGAGGGTGGGGATGGGGTGGGGGAGGGGTGGGGGGAGGGGGGGGGAGGGGTGGTGGGGAGGGGTGGGGGGTGGGGGAAACGTGGGGGGTGGGGGAACAGTGGGGGGCTGGGCGGGAGGGGTGGGGGGAGGGGGTGGGGGAACCGTGGGGGTGGTGGGGGGAGGGGGTGGGAGGGAGGGGTGGGGGGAGGGGGTGGGGGGAGGGGGTGGGGAAGGCGGTGGGGAAGGGGTGGGGGGAGGTGGTGGGGGGAGGGGGGTGGGGGAGGGGTGGGGGGTGGGGAACCGTGGGGGGTGGGGGAAACAGTGGGGGGTGGGGGAGGGGTGGGGGGAGGGAGGTGTGGGGAAACGTGGGGGGTGGGGGGAGGGGGTGGGGGGAGGGGTGGGGGGAGGGGTGGGGGGAGGGGGTGGGGGAAGGGGTGGGGGGAGGGGTGGGGGGAGGGGTGGGGGGAGGGGTGGGGGGTGGGGGAAACCGTGGGGGGTGGGGGAACAGTGGGGGGTGGGGGGAGGGGTGGGGGGAGGGGTGGGGGAACCGTGGGGGGTGGGGGGAGGGGGTGGGGGGAGGGGTGGGGGGGGGGGTGGGGGAGGGGGTGGGGGAGGGGTGGGGGGAGGGGTGGGGGGAGGGGTGGGGGGGAGGGGTGGGGGGGGAGGGGTGGGGGGAGGGGTGGGGGGAGGGGTGGGGGGAGGGGTGGGGGAAGGGGTGGGGGGGAGGGGTGGGGGGAGGGGTGGGGGGAGGGGTGGGGGGAGGGGTGGGGGGGAGGGGTGGGGGAGGGGGGTGGGGGGAGGGGTGGGGGGGGTGGGGGAGGGGGTGGGGGAAGGGGTGGGGGGAGGGGGGGGGGAGGGTTGGGGGAGGGGGGGGGGAGGGGGTGGGGGAAGGGGTGGGGGAAGGGGTGGGGGGAGGGGTGGGGGGAGGGGTGGGGGGAGGGGTGGGGGGAGGGGTGGGGGGTGGGGTGGGGGGTGGGGGAACCGTGGGGGGTGGGGGGAACAGTGGGGGGTGGGGGGAGGGTGGGGGAGGGGTGGGGGAACCGTGGGGGGTGGGGGGAGGGGGTGGGGGGAGGGGTGGGGGGAGGGGTGGGGGGAGGGGGTGGGGGAAGGGGTGGGGGAGGGGTGGGGGGAGGGGTGGGGGGAGGGGTGGGGGGAGGGGTGGGGGGAGGGGGTGGGGGAAGGGGTGGGGGAGGGGTGGGGGGAGGGGTGGGGGGAGGGGTGGGGGGTGGGGGAACCGTGGGGGGTGGGGGAACAGTGGGGGGTGGGGGGAGGGGTGGGGGGAGGGGTGGGGGAACCGTGGGGGGTGGGGGGAGGGGGTGGGGGGAGGGGTGGGGGGAGGGGTGGGGGAGGGGGTGGGGGAAGGGGTGGGGGGAGGGGTGGGGGGAGGGGTGGGGGGAGGGGTGGGGGGTGGGGGAACGTGGGGGGTGGGGGAACAGTGGGGGTGGGGGGAGGGGTGGGGGGAGGGGTGGGGGAACCGTGGGGGGTGGGGGGAGGGGGTGGGGGGAGGGGTGGGGGAGGGGTGGGGGGAGGGGGTGGGGGAAGGGGTGGGGGGAGGGGTGGGGGGAGGGGTGGGGGGAGGGGTGGGGGGTGGGGAACGTGGGGGGTGGGGGAACAGTGGGGGGTGGGGGGAGGGGTGGGGGAGGGGTGGGGAACCGTGGGGGGTGGGGGAAGGGGGTGGGGGGAGGGGGTGGGGGGAGGGGTGGGGGAGGGGGTTGGGGGAGGGGTGGGGGGAGGGGTGGGGGGAGGGGTGGGGGAAGGGGTGGGGGAGGGGTGGGGGAAAGGTGGGGGGAAGGGAGTGGGGGAAGGGGGTGGGGGGAGGGGGTGGGGGGAGGGTGGGGGGAGGGGTGGGGGAGGTGGGGGGGGAGGGAACCGTGGGGGGTGGGGGAACAGTGGGGGGTGGGGGGAGGGTGGGGGAGGGTGGGGAACCGTGGGGGGTGGGGGGAGGGGGTGGGGGGAGGGGGTGGGGGGGAGGGGTGGGGGGAGGGGGTGGGGAAGGGGTGGGGGGAGGGGTGGGGGGGGGAGGGGTGGGGGGAGGGGGTGGGGGAAGGGGTGGGGGGAGGGGTGGGGGGAGGGGTGGGGGAGGGGTGGGGGGTGGGGGAACCGTGGGGGTGGGGGAACAGTGGGGGTGGGGGGAGGGTGGGGGGAGGGGTGGGGGAACCGTGGGGGGTGGGGGGAGGGGGTGGGGGGAGGGGTGGGGGGAGGGGTGGGGGGGAGAGGTGGGGGGAGGGGGTGGGGGGAGGGGGTGGGGGAAGGGGTGGGGGGAGGGGTGGGGGGAGGGGTGGGGGGAGGGGTGGGGGGGTGGGGGAACCGTGGGGGGTGGGGGAACAGGGGGGGTGGGGGGAGGGGTGGGGGGAGGGGTGGGGGAACCGTGGGGGGTGGGGGGAGGGGGTGGGGGGGAGGGGTGGGGGGAGGGGTGGGGGGAGGGGGTGGGGGAAGGGGTGGGGGGAGGGGTGGGGGGAGGGGTGGGGGGTGGGGGAACCGTGGGGGGTGGGGGAACAGTGGGGGGGTGGGGGGAGGGGTGGGGGGAGGGGGGTGGGGGAACCGTGGGGGGTGGGGGGAGGGGGTGGGGGGAGGGGTGGGGGGAGGGGTGGGGGGAGGGGGTGGGGAAGGGGTGGGGGGAGGGGTGGGGGGAGGGGTGGGGGGAGGGGTGGGGGGTGGGGGAACCGTGGGGGTGGGGGAACAGTGGGGGGTGGGGGGAGGGGTGGGGAACCGTGGGGGGCGGGGGGTGGGTGGTGGGGTGAGGGTTGGGGGGTGGGGGAGGGGTGGGGGAACCGTGGGGGGTGGGGGTGGGGGGAGGGGTGGGGGGAGGGGGGAGGGGTGGGGGGAGGGGTGGAGGGAGGGGTGGGGGGAGGTTGGGGGTGGGGGTGGGGTGGGGGGAGGGGTGGGGGTGGGGGAACTATGGGGGAGGGGGTGGCGATTCCATTCTGCTATTTTTATGGGTTTCCACGCGGCTGCTGTTGCTGGAGACGTGAGACTGACATACACGGGGAAACCCTCTCCTCGTCCACGGCCTGATGAGCCAGCCGTGTTGGTGAGTCGGCACCGCAACCATCATCCCCTTGGAGTCCACCCTGTGGGTGATGACCACTTGGTGGACGTGATCGACTGGGGTTCTGCAGTGGACGGCTGGTCCATTCACCAGTGGGTCGTCTCCGCAATTATCGTCTTGGATAATGTTGATACTCCGACTGATGCTCCTGCTGCTGTTGTGGAGTGACTCATGCAGGCAGCTATGGCTGCAGAGTTTTGGTGGTACATGTTGTTTCCGTCGTTGATTGTGAAAATTCGGTCACAGTTCCTATGATCACTGTTTCTTTGCTTTCATGGCTTTATTTTGGTGATTTTCGATACGTTTTTTGGTTTGGCCATGTTTGTTTGTTGAAGTACAGAGTTAGACTGATGGCCTTAATCTAAGTTGTCTTGTGGTTGTTGTTGTTTGTTGTAGTACAGAGTTAGACTGATGGCCTTAATCTAAGTTGTCTTGTGGTTGTTGTTGTTTGTTGAAGTACAGAGTTAGACTGATGGCCTTAATCTAAGTTGTCTTGTGGTTGTTGTTGTTTGACTTGCATCCCACTGGGATGTTTGCACATTTTTGTGTACGGTGCTTTTTCTGCAATATTTTACTGTCTTTTCTTGGATTTTCTGTTTGCACTCAGTCACATAGTCACTACAAAATGTTTTTTTGTTCATGTTTTAGTTTTCTGTTTGTTGCGGTTGCACCCGATTCAAGAGCCGAATGGCTCACAGGGCTACACCTAATACATGAACTTGAACTTGGAGTCCAGTCTGTGTGGGGAGGAAGGAAGCTGATCATCCTGAGGTGGTGCTTGGAACCAGTGGCGGCTCCTGCAAAATCTCTCAGGGGGGGCAAATGTCTGGATGATTGATAAGGATAAGGTCCACCCATGTAATGGATAAATTAACAGCTTAAGCATGTAAAGGCAACTTCACTTATTTAATATTAATGAAAAATAAAGTGACTTTTACAATACATCTTGTTTGTTTCTATACTCACTATTAATACAATCCACTCAAGTTTCTTTTATTAAAGATTCCACTAGGTGGCGACAAATTATATTGTTGGATGAAACGTGCTTACGTATGATGACGTAAGCACGTTAGGGCGAGCCCTCCCGGAAGCCATAGAGAATGCATTGCAGTGCCCCCCGGTCGAAAAAAAAAATCTTTGAATGTAAGTCTATGGGGCCACTCGGGGCGATTCTCAGCCGGAGGGAAATCGCCCAAAAAGAGGTGGTACTCCACAGAACGTGACATGACGCTGATTGGACTATATCCAGAGGCACAGTGATGGCTAGCGTGACTCTGTGGTTGAATGACATTGGTGGTGCGTCGCCCAATCGCCCTAATGAAGAAACCGCCCCTGGGTTAAGCGGTGACGTTATGTCAATGACGCTTGATTTTGTGCGCATCTGCTCATAGTTAGAGGTAGGTTGGGTTCATTTTTAAATCTTTTATATTAAGTTCGCTTGCTTGCTTGCGTGCTTGCTTGCTTGCGTGCTTGCTTGCTTGCTTACGACCGTACAAACCTTTCGGTCGTTTTTTAACCCACTTCCCATGATCCAATCGAGCTGACATTTTGCACACAGGCTCGTTGTGCGAGACAATTAATGTTCGTGAAATTTTTTTTCAAAAATTTTACACTGTTTGGGGACAACTAATTAAATATTTAATTACCAATTGCTTAATACTGCAGACAATCATCTGACCCATAGGTGGCAGCCATCTCAAGCCAGAGGACGAGAAGACTCTAGCCGCCACGCATATAAAGGATTTAGAGTGAAAAACTTTGTTTTTACAGGTTTACTTGTTTATTCGTTGGCCTTCATTTGCCGCCATTGCTCGCGGCAAATGTTTGCACAAAATGGCGGAACACCCTCGTGGTCAATCCTAGTTACTTGTACGCGCGCGTGCATTTCCCCTCTCCCTTCTTTCGCTAAAGTCACGTACATAGAAAACTATTTACAAACTTATTTAGTCCATATAAGAGTTAGAGTGCGCGTGGGTCCATGTGTGCGAGTCCATATGTGTGTGTGTGTGACAGTCGCTGTGTTTGTGTACGTCCGTGTGCGCTGTGTCTGTCAGTCCGTGTGTGCGTAGTTCCATGTGTGTGTGTGTCGATGTCTGTGTGTCTAAGGCGAGGTGTGTGTGTGTGTCGATGTCTGTGTGTCTAAGACGAGGTGTGTGTGTGGGTGTCGATGTCTGTGTGTCTAAGACGAGGTGTGTGTGTGTGTGTCGATGTCTGTGTGTCTAAGGCGAGGTGTGTGTGTGTGTCGATGTCTGTGTGTCTAAGACGAGGTGTGTGTGTGGGTGTCGATGCCTGTGTGTCTAAGACGAGGTGGGTGTGTGTGTGTGTCGATGTCTGTGTGTCTAAGGCGAGGTGTGTGTGTGTGTCGATGTCTGTGTGTCTAAGACGAGGTGTGTGTGTGGGTGTCGATGTCTGTGTGTCTAAGACGAGGTGTGTGTGTGTGTGTGTGTCGATGTCTGTGTGTCTAAGGCGAGGTGTGTGTGTGTGTCGATGTCTGTGTGTCTAAGACGAGGTGTGTGTGTGGGTGTCGATGCCTGTGTGTCTAAGACGAGGTGGGTGTGTGTGTGTGTCGATGTCTGTGTGTCTAAGGCGAGGTGGGTGTGTGTGTGTCGATGTCTGTGTGTCTACGACGAGGTGGGGGTGTGTGTGTGTGTTGATGTCTGTGTGTCTAAGGCGAGGTGTGTGTGTGTGTGTCGATGTCTGTGTGTCTAAGGCGAGGTGTGTGTGTGTGTGTCGATGTCTGTGTGTCTAAGACGAGGTGGGTGTGTGCGCGAGTCCGTGTCAGATGTGTGCGAGTCGCTGTGTGTACGTCGATATGTCTGCGTGTAAGTGGATGTGTGCGTGGGTCCGTGTGTGTCTGTGTGTAGGTCGACGTGTGTGTGTCTTTTTCGCCCGGGCAACGCCGGGTACTTCCCGTTAGTCGTATTTATATTGTGAACCTAACACGTACACACAGCTACACGTTAAAAAGACCAAGATCCCGTGTGTAAGCCTTAACAGACTGCTTGTGCAAGTGCTGTTGGTAGCGAGCAGCAGCAGCTACGAATGGTGGCACTGTGGCACACTAGGGGGTGGGTGGCCAGCACCACGCCCGACCGCCTTTGTCTCCCCAGTGGCCACACACACACAAAGATCCCCCATATAGCCTTAACAGACTGTAGGGGCAAGTGCTGTTAGCGAGCACTGACAAAGAATGATCAGTCTATAATTTAATGGTAGGTTTATTTGAACAGTGAGAGACAGAATAACAACAACAAAATCCAGAAAAACGCATGTCAAAAATGTTATAAATTGATTTGCATTTTAATGAGGGAAATAAGTATTTGACCCCTCTGCAAAACATGACTTAGTACTTGGTGGCAAAACCCTTGTTGGCAATCACAGAGGTCAGACGTTTCTTGTAGTTGGCCACCAGGTTTGCACACATCTCAGGCGGGATTTTGTCCCACTCCTCTTTGCAGATCTTCTCCAAGTCATTAAGGTTTCGAGGCTGACGTTTGGCAACTCGAACCTTCAGCTCCCTCCACAGATTTTCTGTGGGATTAAGGTCTGTAGACTGGCTAGGCCAACGTACAGAATCAGCAGGGGATCAAATACTTTTTCCCCTCACTTTCGCTAACATCTAGCCACCATGATGATGATGAAAGAAAAAGGCACGCAAGCTCCAAATATTGCAGCAGGCGTCACAGGGTCGGGATGGAACCCAGGACCTCCTGTATACCAGGCGAGATAGTTAACATCTCCGAGCCACCGTAGATTTCGAGGGGAGTTGCTCTCACGGTACACAGACCTCGTCGGCGTGAGAGCAGAGAGAGTGCGAAGACTTTGCGAGCCTCCCCCTCCTCATCCCCCCTCCTCCCCTTTCCCTCCACATCTCGTCCTCCACTCATCTTCCTGCTCTCCCCACTCCTCATGCCTCCCCCACTCCTCGCACGCTCAGGCGATCGGAGTGCGTCCGAGGGCGCACACGTGGTACTGGGGCGGCGAGTGGATGAACGTCGCCGGGCTCACGGGCGCGGGAGCCGGGCAGCCGGGCGGAGGGGCGAAGGTGAAGGTGTGCATCAGGGACGAGAAGAAGATGAAGAGCTCCGTCTTGGCCAGAGACTCCCCGAGGCACAGGCGGCGACCTGGCGAGGTCGCGAGGGGGGAAGAGATGGCGCGGGGAGCGCTTCAGATCGGCGTCAGTTCATGTTTATCGTAAACCCCGTGAGCTCAGAAGCTGTGGAACATCGGGTTTCATCAACGAAAGCATCGGTACCCCGGCAAAGCATAACATACAAAATGCATAATGAAGGTTTTTGGGGTTGGATCGTGTATAAATGTTGTATCTTGACCTTAAAGCTTTCGTGATTGCAGTAATTTAAATTCTTTCGGTCGTTCGGTTAAGCTTTCCCGAAAGACACAAAGAATAAAAATGTTGTCTTACCCTTCCGCCACCCGACACGGCCATTTTCAACGTAAGCAACGCACCAATTAGTTACTACTTAGCGATGTGTTGTCGAGAGGAACGCGAGCGTTGCTGTAACGCGGATTTACAATCGCGCACTCTCAGCCCCAGCAAGCAAACCCAATGATCGTTCGCCCACTCGCGTCAGCCACAATGTACCTGCAGAGAAGGGCATGAAGGCCTCGCGCTGCCGGAACTGCCCGGCGGCATCGAGGAAGTGCCCCGGGTTAAAGTCGTCGGGCGTCTCCCACATGGAGGGGTCCTTGAGCACACTGCCCAACACGGGGATAACCTGCATTCCCTGTAGGGGGAGGGGTGGCGGGTCCACGCAGACATTTGGTGACATCACATTAGTAGTAAAATCGAATGTTAAATAATACAAACCCGTAAAAACAAAGTTTTTCACTATAAATGTTTTATATGCGTGGCGGCTAGAGTCCTCTCATCCTCTAGCTTGAGATTGCTGCCACCTATGGGTCAGATGATTGTCTGCCAGTATTAAGCAATTGGTAATTAAATATTTAATTTGTTTTCCCTAAACAGTGTAAAATTTTGGGAATTTTTTTTCACGAACATTAATTGTCTCGCACAACGAGTCTGTGTGGAAAATGTCAGCTCGATTGGATCACGGGAAGTGGGTTAAAAAACGACCGAAAGATTTGCACGGTCGTAAGCAAGCAAGCAAGCACGCAAGCAAGCAAGCACGCAAGCAAGCAAGCGAACTTAATATAAAGGATTTAAAAAAGCAATCAAAAAGGCATGTGACATGGAGTGGGAGTTCATACTCTTCGGATCATTCGGTAAAGCCACGTAGAACAAACAAAAAAACTACGACGTCTTCGATCGCAGCGATAGTTTGTAAAACAAATTTGTTCTACGTGACTTTACCGAAAGACCCAAAGAATATGAATTCCTGCAGTCACGAAAGCTTTAAGTCGAGATGCAGTGAGAGTTTTCGCGACCAATATTGCTTGCAATAGAGGTGGGGTTTTTTGGTTGCGTTAGATCGTGTTCGTATCAAAATGCGTCAGTGAATACGCCGACCCGACACGGCCAAATCGACAAAAGGCTTGTGTCGTGCGAACGAAACGTGGCCAATTTCTTTACGAGGTAGAGCTCGAGCCGGTTGTGTGTTGGAGAGTTAAACCCACTAACAACAGCTTTCGTGACTGCAGGGATTCATCTTCTTGGTTCTTTCGTTAAAGTCACGTAGAATGGAAATAATAAAATAATAAAAATATTAAAATAAAACATAATAAAATAATTCTCACGACGTTTCGGCCACAACGCAAGAAGCCGTCCTCAGGTGGAGAGCAGGTCTGTCGAGTAGACAGAGTCTGAATGACACACTCCAGGCTTGGAGCGACTATTTAAGCTGGGATCGAGGGGGGAAGGGCGCCTTGACAAAATAATTGCATATCAAGAGGAATTTAGCATATTTATGGGAAATGCAGATATGCGATTAGTACTACTTGTGAAATGCGTAGGAAAGAACCAAGAAGATGACCACTCACAACAGTTTCCAATTCGAGCAATTACTAGCAAAATGTTGTTCCAACAAACTCCAAATGCGAAAAGGCACCGCGTTCCGGACACCTGGGGGGGGGGGGGGGGGCGGTGGCCTTCACCTTGGGGATGAGGTACCCGCGGAAGGTGACGTCACTCGGCGTGGCATGCGGGAAGCTGTAGGGCAGCATGTTGGCGTAGCGCTGCACCTCGTGCACCACGGCGTTGGTGAAGGGCAGCGAAGTGTGGTCGGCGTAGACAGGCATCCGGTGGCGGCCCACGATGGTGTCGATCTCCTCCTGGACGCGCCCTAAAGGACGTGGGGGGGTGGGTTTAGGCAGGCCTGGGCGAGGTGACTCAAGTCGTGATTTTGTAAACCGTCGACTCAACGATCCTCCATAAGAAACCCTCCACGGCCAATCGGTAAGGGATTTATCACATAAACAAAACTCCAAATAGTTAATAGTGTAGTGTGTAGTGTAGTTTACTATTTCAGCCCACAGGCGTGGTTGAAGAGCAAATCCACAACATTTACAATTTGAGTAGTGCGACGTTTCGCTGGTAGTTACATCCGACATCATCGGGCGATTTGCCACAATTGTAGTAACTATTTGGCGTTTTGTTTACATGACAAATCGCTTACCGATTGATTGGTCGTGTCGGGTGGTGGAGGGTTTAGACACATATTTACGCGATCTAATGCAAAACGGTTCTTAAAAATATTTCAAAACTATGTAACAGTGCATACTGACTGTGGTGGTACCTGCTATCACTACAGCAGTACATGCTGATTCTATAGCAGTATTTATCGACTGTATAGCACAAAGTACTCACCTGACAGAGTGGCGTGGTGAGGCCTAGTCCCGTGCAGAGCCTCCGGCCTCGCCTAGATTGTCCAGCCGGCCGAGGTGGCACCTTGGCAGGCTGGGTTGCCACCTCTGACCCCCCCCCCCCAGCCACGATCTCCCCGGCCGCTCTGCAGTAATATTTACGGTCTATAGTGGTAGCATCTAGCGACTGTATAGCAGTAATAACTGCATGCATTGGGGTCGGGGGGGGGGCATCATACAGTGAAGAATTTACCTGAGCGTTTAGTGTAATTTTGTAGAATTTTTTACGCGAAATAAAATGTCCCCCTCACTCCCACCAAAGGTGTGCGACTTGGCATGGGCCGTCTCCCCCACCAAAGGCGCGTGAGTTGGTATGGTCGTGCGCGCGTCATAAATAAATTAAAAGGGAAGCGCACACAAATCGCACTAAATCGCTATTTAAACTAATTTAAAGTTGACGGAAGTGAAAAGGAAGAGCGCTTGCTCACCCGCGGGGCTTACGGCGTGGTAGCTGTATTTTATTTTTAGGTAAACCCCACCGTTGGAGAGCCAAGCGCGCGACCACACACAAACCCACACACCCCGCCACAAACCCACACACAATTTTTGACTTTTATATAGATAGATAATATTGGTCGCGAAAGCCTAATGCGTGTTAAAACGACTGCACTCTCTCATTCACGTGGTGGTCACGTGGGTTTTTTTAATAGAAATATTATTTTTTAAATGTCATTTTTTTTGTTACATGACTGTACTGAACGAGCCAAGAATACGAATTCCTGCAGTCACGAACGTTTAAAGTAAAAACCTTTTTTACAATGAAATCTTGATTTGAAGCTTTCGTGACTGCAGGAATCCATACGCTTTGGTTCTTTCGGTAAAGCCACGTGGGTAGAGAATAAAATAAATCACGACGTTTCGAATGCAACACAAGCGTCCGTCACCATGACGGATGCTTGTGTTGCGTTTGAAACGTCGTGATTTACCTTAATTTTCTACCTACGTGGCTTTTACCGAAAGAACCAAAGAGTAGATTCGAAGCTTTCGTGACCGCAGGAATTACTCTTTGGTTCTTGTGCTGCAATCGAAACATCGTATTCTATTATTATTTAATTTCTTTCAACGTGACTTTACCGAAAGAACTTTCACGATGAGTCCTCAGTCTCGCTGCGCGAGTCACTCACGCTGCGTATCGGGGTGGTGCATCATGAGGAGCAGGGCCCAGCGGAGGGACACGTACAGCGTCTCCGTGCCGGCCATGAACAAGCTGAGCGTGCAGGCGACGAGCGACTTGGCGTGGAAGGGGCTGTCCGGGTTGGCAGACTCCTGTTCGACACGAGGAGCAATTTTTTGGAAACTTTTAGATCAACTATTTAACCTCCCCCCCCCCCCCACCACCACTTATTTTGACCTGGGAGTTCTGCAAGCCTCTAGTAATTGTGTTAACGGACAAACGCAATGCCGGGCTTTCACATGGGCTTAGTATTTGTGTATGTACACGTGAGGTTAAGAGCAGGCAAGTTTTTGAAATGTATATTTCCCCCGGGCAAAGCCGCGTACTTCTACTAGTTAATAATAATAAAGAGGTTCTTTTGTTTTCTTTGGTTTAGATTGTGTGAAATATCAATGTTGTTGTCGTTGTTAAGCCCACCACCACCACCACGACATAGCCCAGTCGGTTAAGAGGTTTGGGTCGCGTCAATACAAAGTGGCCACTTAATTCACTAGTTTCGTCACACGCCAACCCGTTGTGTGTGTGTGCGTGTGCGTTGGGAAAGTAGGTCCTGGAGGAGGGGAAATCCCTCAGCCAGGAAAACATCGTGGCACAAAGTGGGGATGAACCTGCTGAGGCTGGGGTGCCTCAAATATTGGAAGAAGTCATCCCCTGTGAGTGGCTGGCTGAGGTGCCATCTGTTGATGAAGTACTGAGGGCGATCCAGAGTCTGAGACCAGGAAAGGCACCAGGCATAAATCTCCCAAGCGAAACGCTGAGAGAGGGTGGCGTTTGTGCACAACCTGCCCTATATGACATCATAACAACGACCACTGGACGGGTTCTACAAGACTGGAAGGATGCCCTGGTGGCCCCCTCTTTAAGAAGGGGGACCGCACAGACTGTAACAACTACAGGGGCATCTCACTCCTCAGTGTGCCGGGAAAGGTCCTGGCAAGGATTATTCAACATCGCCTTGCGAGGCACGGTGAGGAGAGGCTTGCGGAGCCCCAATGCGGTTTCAGGAAAGGGCGGTCCTGCACGGATGCCATATTTTCTGTCCGTCTGCTACAGCAGAGGTGTAGGGAATTCCCACAAGACCTACATCTCTGCTTTATTGACCTGGTTAAGGCCTGTGATACCATCAGTAGGCATGGGCTCTGGGTTGTTCTTCCTGCTTTCAGAGTCCCTGACCCTCTGCTTACGATCATTAAGGACCTTCATGATGGCGAGCGGGCCCAGGTAAAACTACATGGCCGGGAGTCAGAGCCATTCCCTGTACACCTTGGGGTGCGACAAGGATGTCCTCTGGCTCCCATATTATTTAACATCTATTTTGACCACGAGTTCGTGAAGCCTTCAATAGCTGTACCGGGGGAATTTCCATTTGGTACAGATATAATGGGAGGCTGATCGATGCCCAGGTGCGGTCAAGGGATGGATCACTGTTGGTCAACCACGTCATGTATGCCGATGATTTGGTAATTGCTGCTCATTCAGAGGAGGAGTTGGAGAAGGTGCTGCTGAAACTGGAGCGTGCCACGAAGAGGTGGGGCCTTACCATCAGCCCCACCAAAATTAAGCACCTGCCTGGGTATTTTGTACCATCGGACACTCCACCCACACAACTCTCAATCGGTGATGGGGCAGTTGTGGAGAGAATGGAGAGTTCCCAATACCTGGGCAGTGTGCTCATGACCGGCTCCAGTTTAACAGCAGAGGTCTCACTCCGAATCAGTCGAGTGGCAATATCTTTTTATCGGTTGCGTAACGCTGAGGAGCTCACAAATCTTTGAAAGATCTGGGCAAAGTCCCATCGGTGAGCTCCTCCGGCAGGCAAGGCTGCGTTGGCTGGGTCATGTAGTCCGCATGCCCAGCCACCACATGCCTAAACAGCTTTTGTTCGGCCGGATAGAGGGGGCTAAATGGGTGCAGCACGGGCTAGAGAAGAGATGGAGTGATGTGGTACAGGAGGACGTGGACTTGCCGATGACTGGTACCAGCGGTGTCAAGATCGGCCTCAGTGGAGAAGGCTCGTGAAGGACGCTACTGGGCAGTTGGAAGCAGTCGCCCTCCAACAATAACAGAGGGCGGAGGAGCGACGCTCACAACAATGAGCGGAGCGTCGGGTGGCTAAAGCACAACAAGTTGGCACAGTAGGGGGCACAGGTGGTGCATCAGCCAGTCATCTCAGTCAGTCGACCTGTGGCACCTGGGTCTTCCTCATGACCTCCTGCCAGCGGGCATTCGACACTTCCCGTGGCCTCAAGGTGTACATGGCCTGGCACAAGCGTCGTGGTAACGTCACCGCCACTTAGTGGTGAATGGCGGTTGTTGTTGTTTGGAAAGTAAAACCCACAACGCACCATTTACAAACTCGAGTAGCCGTGACGTTGCGCAGGTAATTGCAGCAACCAGCATCAACAACAACAACCAGCTATCATCAGGAAACAGCCACAGAGTTTGTGAGAGACATTGCCCACTAAACGCCGGCTCGGGTGAAATAGGAACGCGAATCTTTACTCTACGGGACTGGATAAATCCGCTGCGCTACGGGAAGCCCCTTTGTTATTTAGCTTTCTAACTTTGCAGATTGGTCCACCCAGGGGGTACGGGAGTCTCAGAAAGTTACAACAACAATACAGAATACGAAGATAACGACAGGAGTGCAAAGTATAGTAAAGGTAAGCAAATCACGATTAATTAGCTTACATTTAACTATTTTTAAATCCTTTATATTAAGTTCGCTTGCTTGCGTGCTTACGACCGTGCAAATCTTTCGGTCGTTTTTTAACCCACTTCCCGTGATCCAATCGAGCTGACATTTTGCACACAGACTCGTTGTGCGTGACAATTGATTTTCGTGAAAAATTTTTTCCTAAATTTTACACTGTTTAGGGAAAACAAATTAAATATTTAATTACCAATTGCTTAATACTGGCAGACAATCATCTGACCCATAGGTGGCAGCCATCTCAAGCCAGAGGACGAGAGGACTCTAGCCGCCACGCATATAAAGGATTTATAGTGAAAAACTTTGTTTTTACGGGTTATACTTATTACGTGACCAGGTTAGACCCACTAAGCGGTATGGCGATATCACAAATGATAGCAGCTCAAAGTGGCTTATCATAATCATGATGATCATATGGAAATGTATCGCAGTAGCCAAATACTCTAAATGTGTGATGTTGATTATTAAATGTGGCGGTAAAAACAGGAGGACCCGGGGGAAAATCCACGCGACAACCACGGGGAGTGAGAGACACACAAACTCCAAATATACAGCAGCAGACGTCATGGTCAGGATCGTCCCCACGACCTCCTGTACACCAGGCGAGGTAGTCAACATCTCATAGCCACTGTGATGGAGTGAGAGACACGCAAACTCCAAATATACAGCAGCAGGCGTCATGGTCAGGTTCAAACCCACAACCTCCTGTACACCAGGCGAGGTAGTCAACATCTCCTAGCCACCGTGATGATGAGAGAGAGAGACACACAAACTCCAAATATACAACAGCAGGCGTCATGGTCAGGATCGTCCCCACGACCTCCTGTACACCAGGCGAGGTAGTCAACATCTTATAGCCACCGTGGTGCCCTCCCCTACCTGCTGCTGTTTGTCCATGAACGCGTCGATGTAGTCGCGCGGCTGTTGGGCGACCCACGCCGTCTTGTGGTTGTCGATGATCATCTGGATGTGCTCTATGAGCATCCTCTTCTTCTCGAAGAGCAGGTTGTGTGTGCCTGGCAGGTGCTTCATCACCGATGGGAAGGCGTTGTACAGCTGCCGAGCCAAATGCAGCATAGGTCGGGGGGAGGAAGGGGGGGGGGACCATCAGTGCAACACCGTCTGGGAAAATGTTATGGTCAAAAAACTAAAAACATCATTGGGATGATTCTATATTTCGGCACACGGTTTGGCTATGTACCGTGTGAAAGAAGTTCAACATACACACCCACATTATCACCAACACCACCATTACCGCCACCATCACCACCACCTCACGTGGCCTGCTGACGTCAGGGCTGCTGTAAGCCACAGATCCCCTTCCTCGCCAGCAGATAGCGCTATGCTGCTACATTACTATTCTGTGTCACTACACTTGCTAAATATATATAAAGATGTTTTCAAGGAGATAGCTTGGTTACATTTTTTTTATCATACATACAAACAAAAAAACATGGTCAACGTTTAGTTTGCCTAGACCCTAGGCACAGTGGCATATTGGATAACACGGCCCTGAAGTACACCACCAATTCCTACGCTTGGGCAAAGGCAGCAAAAGTCCCACACCTGTATCCGTCCGTCTGTCACCTGCGTCCGTCAGTCGTCACCTGTATCCATGGGCTTCCAACGAGCCTCGCCACGTCGTCGAGGCAATGCACGAGCTTCAGCAGTTGCGGATCACCGTCCTCGAAGCGCTCCCCGAACACGACGGAGCAGATGACGTTGGAGACGGCGAACACCAGCAGGTTGCTGACATTGAAGGCTTGCCCTGCGCGGTTGGAGCAAGGAGCGAGAGGTCATCGGTGAGAAAGGGGTCATCGGTGAGAAAGGGGTCATCGGTGAGAGAGGGGTCATCGGTGAGAGAGGCGTCGTCGTCATCGCCACCCCACACCACACCACTCACCGTCGCTAAAATAAATAAAAACTCCTTTTCCCCCGTGTTTAGAGAGGTGTGTGGAGGGGAGTGGGCGTCATCTGGTCCAACACCATGTGAGACTAGGCTCTAAGGAAAGCTGTCTCGGTTGTGGACCAATCAACTTCAAGGACAGTGCATACATTATCAGAGTTATGTTTTTTGTTTGCATTATGACTGCAGGTATTGCGGTCTATGCAAACATGACTCCTTGTAAAAAAAGTGTCAGTTTTGTTGCCAGATAGAAGGGTAAAAAAACAATTATCATATTTTTAACTGGCAAATGAGGTTCCAATGGTTGTACCTTTTGTGTCAGCCACGTGCTTGACGAGGAAGCCGGCCTCGGTGAAAATCTTATCATGGAACCTCTGCTTGCCAAATCCAAAGCTCTTGAGCACGCTAAGGCTGAAGCGTTTTTTCAAAATGAAGTTGTTGCCGTGCGCCATCGTGATGCCTGTGGAGAGGGGGGGACACGTGTACATGGCTCACGTGAAACACTTGGAACGCGCGTACAACAACAACAACAACAGCCGTTCGCCACCAAGACATGGAACGCGAGAACACACACAGGCATGTGGTATGCGCGTACAAATATGAATCGGAGGTGCGGGGGAAAGAACCACAAACTGAACACAACATGAAGCCATTCTGTTAAAAAAAAAATTCGTCAATCTAGATGATGATTTAAAAGTTGCATAGCTCCCAAGGTAAGAGCGTTCCAGATGGCCGCAGAAGGGCATCTGAAACGTGCAAAATGCAGTAAGCATCTTTGTTTGATGGCTTTCCAATAGTGTAGTGATTAGTGTAGTACATAGTGTAGTATGGTGTATAGTGTAGCATATAGTGTAGAGTACAGTGTTGAGTGCAGTGTAGTGTGCAGTGTAGCGTACAGTGTAGCGTATAGTACATCTGAAAGCGTGCGATACAAGTGACCATCTCTGTTCGACGGTTAGCCAAAAGGACCTCCTGCCTTACCATCATACATTTCCAAGCAGTCGAAGACCGGCACGTACGGGCGGAACGAGAAGTCGATGGCCTGGTGCACCAGGGCATCCCGCACGGCTTTGTAGCCAACCAGGATCACGAACGGCGACCGGCCCAGGTAGACGGTGAACACCGGCCCGTACTCCCGGGACAGCTTGGGGAGTGTGAACAACGATGGACAGCAAACAAACAAGTATAACCCGTAAAAACAAATATTTTTCACTATAAATCCTTTATATGCGTGGCGGCTAGAGTCCTCTCGTCCTCTGGCTCGAGATGGCTGCCACCTATGGGTCAGATAATTGCATGGCAGCATTAAGCAATTGGTAATTAAATATAATATTTTTGTCCTAAAAAGTGTAAAATTTTAGAAAAAATTTTTCACGAACATTAATTGTCACGCACAACGAGTCTGTGTGGAAAATGTCAGCTCGATTGGATCAAGGGAAGTGGCATAAAAAACGCCCGAAAGATTTGCACGGTCCTAAGCAAGCAAGCAAGCGAACTTAATATAAAGGATTTTAAAAATAGGTGAAATTCCTCCCCGTAGGCGGGTATTAATTCTAGATTTGAAGCTTTCGTGACTGCAAGGATTCATACTCTTAGGTTTTTCGGTAAAGTCGTAGAGGGGGAGGAATTTCACCTATTTTTTTAATCCTTTATATTAAGTTCGCTTGTTTGCTTGTGTGCTTGCTTGCTGTTTAGGGAAAACAAATTAAATATTTAATTACCAATTGCTTAATGGTGGCAGACAATCATCTGACCCATAGGTGGCAGCCATCTCAAGCCAGAGGACGAGAGGACTCTAGCCGCCACGCATATAAAGGATTTATAGTGAAAAACTTTGTTTTTACGGGTTATACTTGTACCTACGTGACTTTACCGAAAACCCTAAGAGTATGAATCCTTGCAGTCACAAAAGCTTCAAATCTGGAATTAAATGGACAGCAAATTTGTTATGACGATGCCGTGGCAAAAAGTAGAACAACGACGGTCAGTGAATTCATTTAGATTTGAAGTCTTTGGGAGGGGGCGGGTGCTGGGCAGTGGATTGGAGGAATGCTGACTCGTAGAGTTCACGCCGGGGAATTGACTCGACAACAAGTGGAGCTCAGGTCACGTTCTAGTTCAATGCCAACATTGAACCGGACGACACAGTCTGATGTTGATAATAATAATGATGATAAGCCACTTCGCTGAGCCATCATTTGTGATGGCCAGGTCGCTTCTGAAAACAAGCTACACAGCAGCAGCCGAGTGGGCCTTGCCTGGTAAAAACAATATTTTAGTTTATGCGTCTCTATGCGTCTCGAGTATTTGACTGCTCCTATAAATTTCCACGCGATGATGATGATACCCCAATTTTGCTGGGCTATCGTTTGTGATAGCTAGGTGGCTTCTAAAAAACGAGCTACAACACAGCTCGCTTGAGCCTTACCTGGTAATATAAAATGTGGGGGTATTTGTGGGTCTCTATGGGTTTCTGTGAGTCTCTGTGGGTCCCTACGCATCTCTATAAGTATCTGTGGGTCTCTGTGGGTCTCTACGAGTCTCTGTGCGACTCTATGGGTCTCTGTGGGTCTCTGTTGGGTCTCTGTGGGTCTCTGTTGGTCTATGTGGGTCTCTGTGGGTCTCTGTGGGTCTCTGTTGGGTCTCTGTGGGTCTCTGTGGGTCTCTGTGGGTCTCTGTGGGTCTCTGTGGGTCTCTGTTGGGTCTCTGTGGGTCTCTGTGGGTCTCTGTGGGTCTTTGTTGGGTCTTTGTGGGTCTCTGTTGGGTCTCAGTGCGTCTCTGTGGGTCTCTGTTGAGTCTCTGTGGGTCTCTGTGGGTCTCTGTGGGGTCTCTGTGGGTCTCTGTTGGGTCTCGGTGGGTCTCTGTGGGTCTCTGTGGGTCTCTGTGGGTCTCTGTTGGGTCTCTGTGGGTCTATGTGGGTGTCTGTTGGTTCTCTGTTGGTCTCTGTGGTTCTCTGTGGGTCTCTGTGGGTCTCGGTTGGGGCTCTGTGGGTCTCTGTGGGTCTCTGTTGGTTCTCTGTTGGTCTCGGTGGGTCTCTGTGGGTCTCTGTTAGGTCTCTGTGGGTCTCTGTGGGTCTCTGTGGGTCTCTGTTGGTTTCTGTTGGTTCTCTGTTGGTCTCTGTGGTTCTCTGTGGGTCTCTGTGGGTCTCTGTTGGGTCTCTGTTGGGTCTCTGTGGGTCTCTGTGGGTCTCTGTGGGTCTCTGTTGGGTCTCTGTGGGTCTCTGTTGGGTCTCTGTGGGTCTCTGTTGGATCTCTGTGGGTCTCTGTGCGTCTCTGTGGTTCTCTGTGGGTCTCTGTGGGTCTCTGTTGGGTCTCTGTTGGGTCTCTGTGGGTCTCTGTTGGTTCTCTGTGGGTCTCTGTTGGTTTCTGTTGGTTCTCTGTTGGTCTCTGTGGGTCTCTGTGGGGTATCTGTGGGTCTCTGTTGGGTCTCTGTTGGTTCTCTGTGGGTCTCTGTTGGGTCTCTGTGGGTCTCTGTGGGTCTCTGTTGGTTCTCTGTTGGTCTCGGTGGGTCTCTGTGGGTCTCTGTTGGTCTCTGTTGGGTCTCTGTGGGTCTTTGTGGGTCTCTGTGGGTCTCTGTTGGTTTCTGTTGGTTCACTGTTGGTCTCTGTGGTTCTCTGTGGGTCTCTGTGGGTCTCTGTTGGGTCTCTGTGGGTCTCTGTTGGGTCTCTGTGGGTCTCTGTTGGGAGGAGTGTTTCTGTGGGTCTCTGTTGGTTTCTGTTGGTTCTCTGTTGGTCTTGGTGGGTCTCTGTGGGTCTCTGTTAGGTCTCTGTGGGTCTCTGTGGGTCTCTGTTGGTTTCTGTTGGTTCTCTGTTGGTCTCTGTGGTTCTCTGTGGGTCTCTGTTGGGTCTCTGTGGGTCTCTGTGGGTCTCTGTGGGTCTCTGTTGGGTCTCTGTGGGTCTCTGTTGGGTCTCTGTGGGTCTCTGTTGGATCTCTGTGGGTCTCTGTGCGTCTCTGTGGTTCTCTGTGGGTCTCTATGGGTCTCTGTTGGGTCTCTGTTGGGTCTCTGTGGGTCTCTGTTGGTTCTCTGTGGGTCTCTGTGGGTCTCTGTTGGTTTCTGTTGGTTCTCTGTTGGTCTCTGTTGGTCTCTGTGGGTCTCTGTTGGGTCTCTGTTGGTCTCTGTGGTTCTCAATTAAATCCTGTGGGTCTCTAAGGGTCTCTGTCAGTCTCTGTGGGCTTCTGTGGGTTTCTGTGGGTTTCTGTGAGTCTCTATGGGTCGCTGTGGGTCTCTATGGGTGTCTATGGCTCTCTGTGGGTGTCTATGGGTCTCTATGGGTCTCTCTCTATGGGTCTCTATTGATCTCTATGTGTCTCTGTGGGTCTCTGTGGGTCTCTGTGGGTCTCTGTGGGTCTCTGTGGGTCTCTGTTGGTCTCTGTTGGTCTCTGTGGGTTTCTGTGGGTCTCTGTGGGTCTCTGTGGGTCTTTATTGGTCTCTGTGGGTCTCTGTGGGTCTCTGTTGGTCTCTGTGGATCTCTGTGGGTCTCTGTTGGTCTCTGTGGTTCTCTGTGGTTCTCTATGGGTCTCTGTGGTTCTCTATGGCTCTCTGTGGGTCTCCGTGGTCCACTACCTTCACAAAGTCGTCGTAGGGCGCTCTGTGGTTAATCCGGAGGAGGTTCCCGACGAGTGGCCACGCGCGGGGCCCGGGCGGGAGGAGGCCCCGGTGGCGGTCGGCTCCGCGGGCCCACCGGGACGCGACGGCCACCAGCAGGAGGAGGGCGGCGGCGCCGGCGATCGGCAACGTCGAGGGCCCCCATGCGAGGCGGGGGGGGGCAGGAAGGGCGTTCGACGAGGACATGACGGCCGGCGGGTGTGGGTAGCCGATTGATCAACGGCGGCGGTGGTGGCGGTGGAGGCGGCTGTGGTGGCGGTGGAGGTGGCGGTGGTGGCGGTGGTGGCAGCGGTGGTGGCGGTGGAGGCGGCGGTGGTGGCGGTGGAGGCTGCGGTGGTGGCGGTGGAGGCGGTGGTGGTGGCGGTGGAAGCAGAGGTGGAGGCGGTGGAGGCAGTGATGGTGGTGGTGGAGGCGGCGGTGGTGGCGGTGGAGGCTGCGGTGGTGGCAGTGGTGGCGGTGGAGGCAGTGGTGGTGGCGGTGGTGGGCTGCAGAGGGACTGAGAGTTCCACCGCGTGCTGGGAAGAAGTGGTAAAGGGGAGGAGACGGATTTTAAAATCTGTGTAAGTTACAAGTAAGTATAACCCGTAAAAACAAAGTTTTTCACTCTAAATCCTTTATATGCGTGGCGGCTAGAGTCCTCTCGTCCTCTGGCTTGAGATGGCTGCCACCTATGAGTCAGATGATTGTCTGCCAGCATTAAGCAATTGGTAATTAAATATTTAATTTGTTTTCCCTAAACAGTGTCAAATTTACTTGTCACGCACAACGAGTCTGTGTGCAAAATGTCAGCTCGATTGGATCACGGGAAGTGGGTTAAAAAACGACCGAACGATTTGCACGGTCGTAAGCGCGCAAGCAAGTAAGTGAACTTAATATAAAGGATTTAAAAAAGAAAGGCGCATTTTAGAAAAAGGGAAAACATTCAAATCGTTCGAAGATGTATTGTGCGTGTGTGCGCGTGGTCACTTCCGGCCTTCATCAGTGCTCGCGAACAGCACTTGCCCCAACAGTCTGTTAAAGGCCTTTCCGGGGGGGGTCTTTGTTTTTGTGTCTGTGTAGTAAGTTCGAGGAGACGATATCGAAGTTGGGACACACTGTTTATTAACTCCGGGACAGGCACAATAGTTGAAGGGGTATCGGCCCCTTCACCCGTACTATGGGAAACCCACCCTAGTCCTAAGCCCTCTGTCCTGTCCCCCAGTCCTCCTCTACTGGGCTACGGGAGGCTGACTGATCTGGCCCTGGCAAGCACAGATCTCGGCACTAGCTAACCAGCCTTGCCCTGATAAGGGCAGCGGTCTGGAAGCTCTTGGGCCGCGCCGCTGGCTTACCCGGCTCGGCCCTTATAAGGACGGCGAGACCGGGGAGTCCCAGGGCCTAATCTCCGAGTCTTGGATCTTCACTGGTCAGCTTCGTGTCGAACTGAACTCGAGCTCTTTGGGTCTCCACCTTTTATAGGGATCGCCTCCGAGGGCTGGGGGCGTGGGCAATAACTGATGCGGACGTCGGTGTGACCACCCGTGTATGTGAGTGCCGACAGCCCTGTGTTTGTTGTCCGCCGTTTCTCCCGTAATAACCCCTACATCTGGAACATCTTCGCCGGTTAGACACATTTAGGCTGGCCTGCCTGTCGATCCATCCTGGGTTCTAACCTGCGGCCTGGATTTTGTGAGGAGCTCACAAATCCTTGAAAGATCTGGACAAAGTCCCATCGTTGAGCTCCACCGGCAGGCAAGGCTGCGTTGGCTGGGTCATGTAGCCCGCATGCCCAGCCACCGCATGCCTAAACAGCTTTTGTTCGGCTGGATAGCCCCTCTATCCGGCCGAACAAAAGCTGTTTAGGCATGAGATGGAGTAATGTGGTACAGGAGGATGTGGAGCTGAGATGACCGGTACCAGCGGTGTCAAGATCGGCCTCCGCGGAGGAGGCTCGTGAATGACGCTACTGGGCAGTTTGAGGCAGTCGCCCTCCAACAATTGAGGGCAGAGGAGCGATGCTCACAACAACGAGCCGAGCGCCGGGCGGCTAAAATACAGTAAGATGGCACAGTAATGGGGTACAGGTGGTGCATCTACCGGTCATCTCAGCCGACCCGTGGCATCTGGGTCTGTCCCGGTACCAATTTTCCCCTTTTTTCTGGCAACAAAACAGGTTTTTGGCGTCCCCTGGTCTAACACCGATTGGGACTAGGCTCAAAAGAAAGCTGTCTCTGGTGTGGACCAATCACTTTCAAAGACAATGCAAAGATAATCAGTATGTTTTTTTTTGCATTCCGACCACAAGCATTGTGGTTAATGCAGATGTAAAGTAGTAACTCGGCAGGAGACGACTTCACGGGTAGCACACTCTTTATTTTCACCAACTTGTAGTTACACGGATGACTAACACCCTACTTCGTTACACGGGTGACCAACACCCACTTAGCTACACGGGTGACGGACACCCACTCAGCTACAACTTCGTTACACGGGTGACCAACACCCACTTAGCTACACGGGTGACCAACACCCACTCAGCTACACGGGTGACCAACACCCACTCAGCTACACGGGTGACTAACACCCACTCAGCTACACGGGTGACCAACACCCACTCAGCTACACGGGTGACTAACACCCACTCAGCTACACGGGTGACCAACACCCACTCAGCTGTACTGACACGGGCTCTTACGCCCTGTAGCCTTCCGGGACACACCCAGCCGGGGTGCCCGTCTCGGCTCTGGGTACCACCGTCCCGACCCACACGGGCGTCGGACTACGGTCCCCCCAGTCTCGGCTCCGAGCCACACAGGGCCCCTACCTCCTCCACCCCGTCTTCGGTCTTCAACTGGTTAACACTGACCACGAGTGCTCTCGCGCGTCCCCCTTTATACCCCTCCTGCGGACGTCGCTGAGAGTACTCACTTATCTGACCAATCACTGCGCACTCGCTACGATCCTCTTTTCCCAGCTTGTGTGAGCGCGCCTCACCACCGGCGCGCGCGTCCATGCCACGCCCACACCGCGTGCCCAACCCCGCGCCCCGTGATCCATCACTGCCGGCGCACGTCAATACCACCACTACATCACCCCCTACCACATAGCTCGCAGCCGACCCGGCTGCTAATAAAACATACAACACCCCTTCACCCCCATGTGTGCCCCGTAACATAACACAAACCCTAACAACACAACATGAACACCGCAATCCGCAAAACCCAGCAACCGCCACACCCGCAACAAGAACAACATGCACAATCCAGCGAGTGGCAACGATACTGTGTATGCGGAAAGAGTAACAATAAAAAAAATTTCTTTAATCATTTTCTCTTCTTTTCTCTCCGACTCATGCAGCGTCCCAATGTCCGAGCGTCCCTTGAACGGGACATTACCCCGGCAGAGGGGGAAGCCGGCAACGAAGTCGGGCTTTAACAAAAAAAGATTTTTTTTTTTTTTTCATGAAAAGTGTTGCGTCCTTGACCGAGTCCGCCTTGCCGGACCGTCGTACGGCACAGGACGCAGTTGGCCATCCGGCGGCGCCGGCAGTTCAGGAAGGCATGGGCCAGGCATCGGGGCTCCGTGCGAGCCGCGGGGTTCCGGTTCCCGACGGTCAACAGCCGTCAGGTCCGAGACACCGGGTTCAGTTGGGATGTCTTGAGTCCCTGGTCGTCGTCCGGACGTGGTCCCGCGGTGCGTTGACGCGGGGCCCGGCACCCGGACGCGACGTGGCCCCGAAGGCCGCAGTTGTAGCAGACGACGAGGGACGTCGTAGGTTTCGGTTGCTCCAGCTTGCGGGAGGAGCGTGTGGGCGAACGACCTCCCGTTCTCCACTCCCCCGGCCTCGAACCAGCGAAGGCCTCCTCCCGAGGCACAGCAGGCTGAGGTCCGATGATCGTGGCGGCCGGTGCCCCGTTCTCCACCGATGCGCAGACGACCGTCGGCTTCCGCTGTAGGACCTCGTAAGCGTGGATACTCGTGGCAATCCCCAGGGAGCAGATGTCCATCTCGTCCGCCGTATTAATGGGAACTCCCAATCCGTGAGCCAGCGCCAGCAGCTGCTCCGTCACCATGGCGTCCTTCCCCTCCTTGTCCATGCGGGGAAAAGCTGAATCCGCCAGGGCGAGCAGCGCCGTGCGATAGGCGAGCGTTGTTTCTCCAACCACCTTCCGCCGATCGTAGAATTGGTGGCGACAGGTCGAGGGCGGCCCGAACACCTTGGCCAACAGGTGCAGCGCGGCCTGGAGCGTTGAGCGGGACGACCTCGGGGCAGACGTGAAGGCCGCAAGCGCGTCGTCGTCGAGCATCGCTGGCAGCGCGCGCAGGGCAGTGGTGTCGGACCACCCCGACATTTCTTGATGCGCAATGAACCGTCGCTGGAAGGCTCCCCAGTCGCCCCCGTCCGCCTTGAACACCGACAGCGCGGGCAATCGTTGCTGGAGAACTCGATCGTCGTCGTCGTCGTTGGAACGATTTTCCCGCGCGCCGCTGTGGTTGTAGAAAATGTCGGCTCCCTCTGCAGGCGCAAAATGGAGAGCTCCGGCGCTCGCCGATGACGCGGGCTGCGCTGTGTGGAGACCTCTGGCCACGTGGTGTCCGCGTTTCCCGCCAACCGGAGGCGGACCCTCAAAAATGGCGCCAACTCCCAAACTTTTGGCGCGAAACGCCTTATGGCGGGAACCCTCCAGCCGCGCCGCCTCTTCCAACCCCGCAGGCGTTCCACCGGCCGCTGGAACGGAGATCTCCGCCAAGATCGCAGCGGCGGCGAGCAGCAACTCCGCCAGGCGGGAGTGTGCGTCCTGCAGGCTGGTGTCGGAGGCGGGCGGAGCATCGGCCATTTCCGCGAAGTGCTGCATCGGCGGCAACTCCTCGTCCTCTCCTCCCGAGGGTGGTGTCACCGGTACGTCGTCGTCTCCCCGGTCTTGCACGTGGGAACGAGAAGTCTTCCTTGTGTCCATTCTCCTTGAAGACAGGTTTACTTCTGACGCCAGTTGTAAAGTAGTAACTCGGCAGGAGACGACTTCACGGGTAGCACACTCTTTATTTTCACCAACTTGTAGTTACACGGATGACTAACACCCTACTTCGTTACACGGGTGACCAACACCCACTTAGCTACACGGGTGACGGACACCCACTCAGCTACAACTTCGTTACACGGGTGACCAACACCCACTTAGCTACACGGGTGACCAACACCCACTCAGCTACACGGGTGACCAACACCCACTCAGCTACACGGGTGACTAACACCCACTCAGCTACACGGGTGACCAACACCCACTCAGCTGTACTGACACGGGCTCTTACGCCCTGTAGCCTTCCGGGACACACCCAGCCGGGGTGCCCGTCTCGGCTCTGGGTACCACCGTCCCGACCCACACGGGCGTCGGACTACGGTCCCCCCAGTCTCGGCTCCGAGCCACACAGGGCCCCTACCTCCTCCACCCCGTCTTCGGTCTTCAACTGGTTAACACTGACCACGAGTGCTCTCGCGCGTCCCCCTTTATACCCCTCCTGCGGACGTCGCTGAGAGTACTCACTTATCTGACCAATCACTGCGCACTCGCTACGATCCTCTTTTCCCAGCTTGTGTGAGCGCGCCTCACCACCGGCGCGCGCGTCCATGCCACGCCCACACCGCGTGCCCAACCCCGCGCCCCGTGATCCATCACTGCCGGCGCACGTCAATACCACCACTACACAGACATGATTACTTGTGAAAGGTTTCAGTTGGGTGTTTTAACATCTTAACACAACTGTTTTGTTGCAAGAAAAAAGGGGAAAACCTATTCTCATATGTTAAACTTCTTTCGCACCGTACGTAGCCAACCGTTGCTACTCGGAGGTGCGGGGGAAAGACAACAAACTAAACACAACAACAACAAGAAGCAGTTCTAAATAAGATACTCTAAACACGTGACGTTTAGTCTACATGGGGAGGGTAAAACCGGAGGACCCGGAGAAAATTAACGCGAGCACACAGAGAGAGAGACACGCAAACTCCACATATATAGAGCAGACATCAGGGTAGGGATCGGACTCACGACCTCCTGCATACCAGGCGAGGTAGTTAACATTTCACCACCGTGACGATGAGAGAGACAGAGAGCGACACGCAAACTCCAAATATACAGCAGCAGGCATCAGGGTTGGGATCGAGCTCACGACCTCCTGCATACCAGGTGAGGTAGTTAACATCCCCTATCCTCCGTGGTGATGATGAGAGAGACACAAAAAATCCAAATGTACAGCAGGCATCAGAGTCGGGATCAAACCCACGACATCCTGCATTCCAGGCGACGAAGTGATCCTCTCGCCACCGTGATGATGGTGATGATGAGAGAGACACCGCAAACTCCAAATATACGTACGCCTTTTGGTGTCCTCTCGGCTCAAAAGAAAGCCGTCTCTGGTGTGGACCAATCAAGACAATGCATATATTATCAGAGTATCTTCTTGGTTCTTTCGGTGACTTTACCGAAAGAACCAAGAAGATGAATCCCTGCAGTCACGAAAGCTTTAAATCGAAATTTTTCAGAGTATGTTTTTTTTTGCATTCCGACCACAAGTATTGTGGTTAACGCAGACATGATTCCTTGTGAAAGGTTTCAGTTTGGTGTTTTAACATCTTAACACAGCTGTTTGTTGCCAGAAATAGGGTAAAGCCTCTTCTCATACTTCAAATAACTTATAGCGACAAAATGTACAACAACAAAAAACATCAAGACGGGCAAATATCTGGATAAGCAATCACGATCAAAGTAGTGGATGGGCTGTGTCCATCAGTAGCCAGACACGGCCACATTTCAATGTCCCGAATTGTTTGTGTGTTTGTGGGGTTTTTGTTCCCCTCCATCAAAATGCGACTCATTTTTAAATCCTTTATATTAAGTTCACTTGCTTGCACGCTTACGACCGTGCAAATCTTTCGGTCGTTTTTTAACCCACTTCCCGTGATCCGATCGAGCGGACATTTCCCACACAGACTCTTTGTGCGTGACAATTAATGTTCGTAAAAACATTTTTCCACAATTTTACACTTTTTAGGAATTTTTTTTTATATTTAATTACCAATTGCTTAATGCTGCTAGGCAATCATCTTACCCATAGGTGGCAGCCATCTCAAGCCAGAGGACGAGAGGACTCTAGCCGCCACGCATATAAAGGATTTATAGTGAAAAACTTTGTTTTTACGGGTTAATTTTTTTCGCGACACAGCGCCCGAGTCAAACCCCTTACCTCGATCCGCTGCGGCTTGCCCAGCGGCTGTTTTCCTACGTTCCCCTTTTGGCGGAAGGCAGCGATTAGTTCAGGAGCCAAAGCTGGCCGCGGTACGAGAGGTCTGGCTGACCACGAGAGAGAAAGAGAGAGAGAGCCAGAGAGCCAGAGAGCGAGTATCAGTTGTATTGGAGCGGTTATCGATGAGTAAACATTGACAAGGCAGGGCAAGGGGCAAACTGGGCCAGTGGAATTAAACATTGGCCAATTAAATTTCGATTTAAAGCTTCTTTCGTGACTGCAGGGATTCATCTTCTTGGTTCTTTCGGTAAAGTCACGGAGAAGGGAAATAATAAAATAATAAAAATTAAACAATAAAATAACAGCGTCTGTCTTTCCGACAGACCTGTTCTTCACCTGAGGACGGCTGCTTGCGTTGTGGCCGAAACGTCGTGAGAATTGTATTTTATTATGTTTTATTTTTCTTACTTCCCTTCTACGTGACTTTACCGAAAGAACCAAGAAGATGAATCCCTGCAGTCACGAAAGCTTTAAATCGAAATTTATCAGAGTATGTTTTTTGTTTGCATTCCGACCACAAATATTGTGGTTAACGCAGACACGATTCCATGTAAAAGGTTTCAGTTGGATGTTTTAACATCTTAACACCTATTTTGTTTTATTTTTCCAACATCACTTGCCCCAACAGCCTGTTAGAGGCTACACGGGGCACCTTTGTCTGTGTCTCATAGCTGCTGCTCACTAACAGCACTTGCCCCAACAGCCTGTTAGAGGCTACACGGGGGACCTTTGTCTGTGTCTCATAGCTGCTGCCCATTAACAGCACTTGCCCCAACAGCCTGCTAGAGGCTACACGGGGCACCTTTTGTCTGTGCCTCATAGCTGCTGCTCACCACTGAGTAGGAGGTGACCGGGACCCCCCCCCGTGCCCCCCACTCCAGCCGCGTTATTAACAGGGGGAGGAGAGGCGACAGCTCATTCGAACACCCCCCCCCCACCACGGATCTCCGCTTCAAATTAAAGGCCCTCCCTCCTTGGTGTGTGTCTGTGGTTGTGTGTGTGTGGTTGTGTGTGTGTCTCTGTGTGGTTGTGTGTGTGTGTCTCTGTGTGGTTGTGTGTGTGTGACTCTGTGGGTGTGTGTGTGTGGTTGTGTGTGGTTGTGTGTGTGTCTCTGTGTGGTTGTGTGTGTGTGTCTCTGTGTGGTTGTGTGTGTGTGACTCTGTGGGTGTGTGTGTGTGGTTGTGTGTGTGTGGTTGTGTGTGTGTCTCTGTGTGGTTGTGTGTGTGTGTCTCTGTGTGGTTGTGTGTGTGTGACTCTGTGGGTGTGTGTGTGTGGTTGTGTGTGTGTGGTTGTGTGTGTGTCTCTGTGTGGTTGTGTGTGTGTGACTCTGTGGTTGTGTGTGTGTGGTTGTGTGTGTGTGGTTGTGTGTGTGTGTCTCTGTGTGGTTGTGTGTGTGTGACTCTGTGTGTGTGTGTGTGTGGTTGTGTGTGTGTGGTTGTGTGTGTGTGTCTCTGTGTGGTTGTGTGTGTGTGTGACTCTGTGGGTGTGTGTGTGTGGTTGTGTGTGTGTGGTTGTGTGTGTGTCTCTGTGTGGTTGTGTGTGTGTGACTCTGTGGGTGTGTGTGTGTGGTTGTGTGTGTGGTTGTGTGTGTGTGTCTCTGTGGTGGTTTGTGTGTGTGTGACTCTGTGGGTGTGTGTGTGTGGTTGTGTGTGTGTGGTTGTGTGTGTGTGTCTCTGTGTGGTTGTGTGTGTGTGACTCTGTGGGTGTGTGTGTGTGGTTGTGTGTGTGTGGTTGTGTGTGTGTGTCTCTGTGTGGTTGTGTGTGTGTGACTCTGTGTGTGTGTGTGTGGTTGTGTGTGTGTGGTTGTGGTGTGTGTTTTCTGTGTGGTTGTGTGTGTGTGTGACTCTGTGGTGTGTGTGTTGGTTGTGTGTGTGTGGTTGTGTGTGTGTGTCTCTGTGTGGTTGTGTGTGTGTGTCTCTGTGTGGTTGTGTGTGTGTGACTCTGTGGGTGTGTGTGTGTGGTTGTGTGTGTGTGGTTGTGTGTGTGTGTCTCTGTATGGTTGTGTGTGTGTGTGACTCTGTGGTTGTGTGTGTGTGGTTGTGTGTGTGTGTGACTCTGTGGGTGTGTGTGTGTGGTTGTGTGTGTGTGACTCTGTGGGTGTGTGTGTGTGGTTGTGTGTGTGTGTCTCTGTGTGTGTGTGTGTATCTGTGTATGTGTCTCTGTGGGTGTGTGTGTGTCTCTGTGGGTCGGTACCTGTGTGTGTCTCTGTGGGTGTGGGTGTGTGGTTGTGTGTGTGTGACTCGTTGTGTGTGTGTGACTCTGTGTGTGTGTGTGGGGGGAGCGGTGGTGCAGCGGTTAGCGCTACGCTGCGCTATGAACCTGGCGACACGAGTTCGATTCCCGCTCACGGCCAACACCAGTGACGATTATCTGAACCGGTCCCGGGCATCCCCTAGGTCTACTCAGCCTCAAACGAGTACCTGGTGCGGTGTGTAAACATTGCCACTAGAGAGACAAAGGCGGTCGGGCGTGGTTCTGGCCAACCACCCCCTCGTGTACCATTCCGGCCTTCATAGGTGCTCGCTAACAGCACTTGCCCCTACAGTCTGTTAAGGCTATATGGGGGATCTTTGTGTATGTGTGTGTGTGTTTCTGTGGGTGTGTGTGTTTCTGTGTGGTTGTGTCTGTGTGTGTGTCTATGTGGGTGTGTGTCTCTGTGGGTGTGTGTGTGTCTCTGTGGGTGTGTGTGTGTCTCTGTGGGTGTGTGTGTGTCTCTGTGGTTGTGTGTGTGTGTGTCTCTGTGTGTGTGGTTGTGTGTGTCTGGTTGTGTGTGTCTGGTTGTATGTGTGTGTCTCTGTGGGTGTGTGTGTGTCTCTGTGGGTGTGTGTGTCTCTGTGGGTGTCTCTGTGAGTGTGTGTGTGTGTCTGTAGGTGTGTGTGTGTCTCTGTGGGTGGGTGCCTGTGTGTGTTTCTGTGCTTGTGTGTGTGGTTGTGTGGGTCTCTGTGCTTGTGTGTGTCTCTATGTGTGTGTCTTTGTGGTTGTGTGCGACTCTGTGGTTGTGTGACAGAGGAGATGTTCAAGCTGGCTGAGAAAAAGCGACAGGCCCACTCTCATCGTCTACTCCATCCCATGTCAGAGAATGAGGAGGTTTACCGCAGCCTTCGCTCGGAGGTTCGGAGAGCCGCGAGGCACTGCAAGAATGGGTGGTGGTCGCGGGTTTCTGATGAGATGGAGTTGGCTTGAATGGCCCGCGATCACAAATCACTATTTAACTCCATCAAAAAAGTAACCTGCAGCGCCACAACTATTACCATAATTAGGGTAAAAACCGGTGATCCAATCTCCGACCCCCAGGAACAGGTTTGCAGATTTGCTGATCATTTCTGTGAGGTCCTGGGGGAGGGGAATTCTCTCAAACAAAGTGGGGATGACCCTGCTGAGGCTGCGGTGCCTCAAATATTGGAAGAAGTCACCCCCTGTGAGTGGCTGGCTGAGGTTCCATCTGTTGAGGAAGTACTGAAGGCGATCCGGAGTCTGAGACCAGGAAAGGCACCGGGCAGAGATGATCTCCCAAGCGAAATGCTGAGGGAGGGTGGCGTTTGTGCACATACTGCCCTACATGACATCATAACAACAGTCTGGACCACTGGACGGGTTCCGCAGGATTGGAAGGATGCCCTGGTGGTCCCCCTCTTTAAGAAGGGGGACCGCACAGACTGTAACAACTGCAGGGGTATTTCACTCATCAGTGTGCCGGGAAAGGTCCTGGCAAGGATTATTCAACATCACCTTGCCAGGCACGCTGAGGAGAGGCTTGTAGACGCTCACAACAACGAGCTTAGCGCCGGGTGGCTAAAGCACAGCAAGTTGTCACAGTAGGGGGCACAGGTGGTGCATCAGCCAGTCGTCTCAGTCAGTCGACCCGTGGCATCTGCTGGCTCTGTCCCGTGACCTCCTGCCAGCGGGCGTTCGACACTTCACGTGGCCTCTAAGTGCACATGGCCTGGCACATGCGTCGTGGTGATGTCACCGCCACTTAGTGGCGAATGGCGGTTGTTATTGTGTGTGTGCGTGGCTTTAATTGTGTAATTGTGGGGAGCGGTAGTGTAGTGATTCACACTAACAACCTGGCGACCCGAGTTCGATTACCCGCTCACGGCCAACATCACCAGTGACGATTATCTGAACTGGTCCTGGGCCTCCCCTAGGTCGACTCAGCCTCAGATGAGTACCCGGTGCGGTGTGCAGTAAACATCGCCACTGGGGAGACAAAGGCGGCCGGGCGTGGTGGTGCTGGCCACCCACCCCCTCTGTGTGTGCCACAGCGCCGGTAGCCTTCATAGGTGCTCGCTAACAGCACTTGCCCCGACAGTCTGTCACGGGCTACACGGGGGACCTTTGTCTGTGTGTCGTCACGTGGGAGTCGTGGTCCCCACGTGTCCCAGGGAGTGATTGGAAATTAATTTTTAAAAAGGCGGAGCAGCAAACAAGGTGCCAATCACAGCTGAGAGTGTGCACAGCTGCCGATAAATAGCGGCACCCCCACCCCCACACCGCCACCACCACCAACAACGCCACCGCCACCACCAACAACAACGCCACCAAGAACAACGCCACCACCACCACCAACAACGCCACCACCACCACCAACAACGCCACCACCACCACCAACAACGCCACCACCACCAACAACGCCACCACCACCGACAACAACGCCACCACCACCAACAACGCCACCACCACCAACAACGCCACCACCACCAACAACGCCACCACCACCGACAACAACGCCACCACCACCAACAACAACGCCACCACCAACAACGCCACCACCACCACCAACAACTCCACCGCCACAAACAACAACGCCACCGCCACAAACAACAACGCCACCACCAACAACGCCACCACCACCACCAACAACAACGCCACCAACAACAACGCCACCACCACCAACAACACCAACAACAACGCCACCAACAACAACACCACACCATTGTGAAGGGCGAGGAGAGGAAGACCCCAGCCACAAGCAGCTACTGCCCCCCCCTTGTACCCCCCCTCTTACCCCCCCCCGCCCTTGTCCCCCCCCCCCTTGCCCCCCTTTGCCCCCACCCCCTTGCCCCCACCCCCTTGTC